CTGTCAAATATGAAATCAACTAGGACAATTATTTTACTTCTCCATGTGAGTAACAAGTGGTTAGAAGTATGTCACTCCTGAAGTAATAAAACCTGAGAATATACCGACACTTTTGTAAAGTCTTCGAGACAAAGTATGAGGCTTTACTTGAAGTGTTAAAACTTGTCTTTGCTGGGGAAATGAGCTGTGCTTTTAGACCAAAAGGCTCAGTAATGTAAGGATGTTCTTTCTTCCCACATTTTTGGAATTGATGTGATTTGGATAAGCTCTCAAAAAGTGTTCTTTTTTTGAGATTTAGCAAGTTCATTTTAAAACACAAAGAGAAATGCAAAGGATCTGGAAACCTAGATAGTAGGTTAAGCATACCCAGGAGCCAGGTGCAACAGACTCGGGCATGTACCCTCAGCTACCTAGGGAGGCAGAGGCAGGATTTCTTGGATGTTGTCCTTGCCTTCTACCTTGGCTAATACAGAACCTTTGTTCTTTTCCCCTGTAAATGCCAGACTCACAAACTTTGAGAGATTCTCTGGTCTTCACTTTTTATTTCCCTGTAGGAGCATGGGATTATAGATGCTCAGTCTCAGCATCCAGCTTCTGTGGGGGTTTTGGGAGTTTGCACTCAGGTCCTCATACTTGCTCAGCAAACCCTTTTATCTACTAAACCACGCCTCCCTTTCTTAGGTTATGATAGTTCAGGTTTAATCTTAGTTTGGGTTTGATTGCTATGAAGAGACATCATGACCAAAGCAACCCTTATAAAAGACAACATTTAATTGAGACTGGCTTACAGGTTCAGAGGTTCAGTCCATTATCGTCTAGGCTGGAGCACGGCAGTGCCCAGGCAGGCATGGTGCAGGAGGAGCTGAGAGTTCTACATCTTCATCTGACTGCAGCCAAGAAAAACTGACTCTTCTACACTGTGTGGAGCCTCAAAGCCCACCCCACAGTGACACACTTCCTCTAACAAGGTCACACCTCCTAACAGTACCAGTCCTTATGGTCCAAGCATATTCAAACCACCACACCAAATGTGGTGTACATCTGCAATCACAGCACTAGAGATACTAAGCAGAATGCTGTATTCAAGGTTAGCCTTCATCAGAAAACAAGACTAGTCTGTAAATAAAAAGTCAGTTTTGTAAGCTGTCTCCGCTTTAACTTGTTGCCTGAAGATTATTGCATCAAACTTAAATGTTGAAGTATTCTTTTTGTTTTATTTACATATGTAAATGGGTGTTTGTCTGTCTGTGTACCATGTAAGTGCATGGTACTCTCAAAGACAAGAAGAGGGAGTCAGATCCCCTAGAACTGGAGTTATAGATGGTTGTGAGCCACCATATGGGTACTGGGAATCAAATCCAAGTCTTCTGGAAGAATAGCCAGTGCTCTTAACTGCTGAAACATCCCTCCAGCCCCATATTGAAACATTTTATAATTGATATTAATAATTCCTCTTATTCTTCCAGCTTTTAAAAATTGAATTAAATTATAGTTGATAAAGTAATTATTGTACTTTGTACTAAAGACATTCACAATGCATGATTGTATGCAAATTGTTTATCCTTAAATACATCAAATTATAAATAATTTTATATTCTAATTCTCTGGGAAGAGAAGAGTCTATATTTATTCTCCTCAAGATCATTTTTATGTGAAACTTGGTTTTATACAATTGCATTTTACATTCACAGAGAATATGTGCACTTAGGAGGTGGTTTGGCAAGATGGTGGTCTCTTTCTTAAATTACAAGCACGTGGTAAGCAAGCAGGAGACTTCCTTAGGGGGCATGGGATTCTCTGGTACAGTGGCCCTGAGAAATGAGAATCAGAGGCTTTTGGATGATGATCACAACCTTTGAGCTCACAGAAGGAAATCTTTTTTTTTCTCTCTCTTAATGCCAGCACTTCACTGCTTCTACTATTCTAGTGTGGACTGTCACTCAGTGTACCCTTGCATTGTGACTTGAGCTTTGAGCATTAGTTGATACAGAAAAGTAGTCTGCTACACAGTCTACTTAGTGTTAAATTGTTTACTTACCTCAAAACAGGGGGAGAGACTGTGAATGGGGATAATGTGCACAGTGAGCTGGCTGTAGCCGTGGAGCCAGTGACTGGGAAAGACACAAATGGAGCCTCAAGAGAACAGAATAGCATGCTTCTTATTATAGCATAAAAGAATTTTTAAATGAGAAGAACTATAATAATTTATATAGAGGATTTTTATAGAAGTCCTCAAAGTTGTGACTTAGGAGATTTTGTAGAAGAGTCCATTGAACAGAGAAAGAAGAGCAAGTGGAGGCACCTCACCTGAAGGTACAGTGGAGGGACCTCTCTGGTTTGGAAGAAGGATTGAAATTGCTGGAGGGCAGCAAGGTGGCCTGGTGAGCACGTGCACTCGGTGCCAAACCTCATACCCTGAGTTAGCTTCCAGAACCTATGTGGTCAGAGAGAACCAGCTCTAGCCAGTCATTCTCTGAGCTTCACACCTGTGCCGGGCATGTGCTCTCTCTCTCTCTCTCTCTTTCCCTCCTACCCTCCCTTTCTCTCTGTCATATGCTTGGATGGCAGAGTAGTAAAGTAACATCTAGAAATTACTGGGAAAGCAGTGTTTCCGAACCTGCCCAAAATGTCACCTTCTGACTTCGGTTGAAAGTAGATACTTGCAGATACGAAGGAAGGCACTGGTGGGCTATCCAAGTCCTCTCTGTCCACAGCTTCTCCTAGTCAGGAGTTCTCACCAGCAATTCCCACCACAGACTTTTGAGTGTTGTCTTTTTTTTTTTCCTAGAAAAACAGTGTCAGGCACACAGATCTGAGGTGTGTTTAGCTGACTAGATGGATATGGGAGGGTGGGGAGGCAGCAACATAGCCCTTGTTCTCTGCATTCCTGAGTGGGCAGATGAGCTGGAAGCTAGAGCAGATGCAGGGTCTTAGGTGTGTTTGTTTGCTTGCTTTAGTAAGAGACACAATTTCTGATTGTCTTCCTTCTTTTCCTTCTCTTTCATCTTACCTTTGATATCTATAAATTAGCTGAGGGGCTAGCAGGGAGAGTGGGTTGGGGTATCAGAGTCAGAGAGCGAGCAGGCACATGTTTGCCATGGCACAGATGTGGAGACCAGTGAGTAAATTTCAGGAGTTGTTTCTTCCCTTCCACTATGGCATCCAGGGATGGAACTCAGGCTGTTAAGTATGTGAGCAAGTGCATTTACCCACTGAGCCATCTCAGCGGGCTCCTTCTCTCCTGTTTTGTTGTTGTTATCTCTGAGATGGGGTCTCTGGATGCAGCCCAAGGCTAGCCTCAAACTCAAAATCTTTCTGTCTCAGACTCTTGAGTGCTGGGATTACAGTTTGTGCCCCGATGTTCTGGCCTTTTATAAATATAAAAGTCACTGAGGTCCAGTGAGATGGCACTGCAGGTCAAAGGCCCTGCTGCCCATCCTGGCAACCTGAGTTCAATCCCCAGGACCTACATGGTGGAACGAGAGAACTGATTCCAGCAGCTTTCTTCTGGCCTTCACTTGGCGAGCGCACGTACACACACATATAAGCAAAAACAAAATTATTCTTAAAATTGATAGCTGCTTATGCTTTATTCTATATTCATTAATTCATTAGAAGTTGTAAAATACTGATAGCCTGGTTTGGTTTTTTTGTTTTTTGTACCTGTAACTTGGTTATTTTCATTTCACCATTTAACTCTTTGCTTAGAATATCTAGGTTATTCAATGATACCATCATAAAGGAAAGGCAAAATAAATGGTTGATTCTTTTAATCATTTCATAAGGTAATAAATTGGTTCTCTGTCTCTTTGGGGCAATGTATCATTTTAAAATCATTAATTAATATGCATATGGATTATTTTATTCATTGATATTACTTTTTTGAAAAAGTTTTTAAAAATTTAAGGTGGGAAGTGATCTTGTACTCTGTTTCGAAAACCACAAAAGAAAAAAAGGTTTTTCTTTTGTGGTTTTTCTGTTTTTCTTGTGTGTGTGTGTGTGTGTGTGTGTGTGTGTGTGTGCGCGCACATGCACCAGCCTCCAGAGACCAGAAGAGGGTGTCATATCCCCTAGAGCTAGAGTTATAGGCAGTTCTGATCTGCCCACTGTGGGTTCTGGGAACCAAACTCTGGGGGTCTTTTAGAAAAGCAGCAAGTATTCTTAATTAGTGAGCCATTTCTCCAGCCCTCAATTACTATTTTTATTGAGACTCACATTGTGTCATTGGGACCATAAAGATTCCTGGGTGTGTTTTAACAAAGGACTGTAACTTTCTTTAGTAAAGAGTAGGGCAGTTGGGCTACTGAGATGCTTCAGTGGACAAAAGGTACTTGCTGCCCAGCCCTGACATACTGGCTCTTTCCATGGAAGGAGATACCTACCCTGGAGAGCTGTACTCTTACCCCCATGAACACATCCTGGCATTCTCTCTCACCGCCCGCCCCCTTCTCTCTCATACATACATGGGAAGGTGGGTAATTTGAGGGGAGGGATCCATTTGTTTCTGATGACATTTGGAACTGTGATGCAGGTTTGATAGAATGAGTAGCCCATGTCTTAGAATGTGTATTACTTAACAAAGAATAACAATTTTATTTTTAGAGCCGGGCGGTAGTGGCGCACGCCTTTAATCCCAGCACTTGGGAGGCAGAGACAGGCGGATTTCTGAGTTCGAGGCCAGCCTGGTCTACAGAGTGAGTTCCGGACAGCCAGAACTACACAGAGAAGCCCTGTCTCCAAAAAACAAAAACAAAAAACAAAAAAAAAAACAACCTTATTTTTAGTGTGTGTGGAAAGTGAAAAGGAAGCATTTCCTAGCAGTAGTATAAATGGGTGTGTTTAATGGGTTTCTCTACCAGTTAATAAATATTTCAATGCTTATATTGAACCAATTTCCATAATAGGAATTCTGGAGAAACCAAATAATTGTGAAGCATACTAACTAATTTCAGTAGAACAAGTTTCAAAGAATGGTTTTAAGCTTTGATATTTTCTTTCAGACCTGTCACGAAATCGCCTCTCAGAAATCCCTATGGAAGCATGTCATTTTGTTTCTCTGGAAAGTCTTAACCTATACCAGAATTGTATTCGGTACATCCCAGAGGCTGTTCTAAACTTACAAGCTCTGACATTCCTAAATATTAGGTAAGAATGCTATTCTTTCGGAAAAAGTGGTTTTATATGACCTTTAATTTTCTCCTCTCAGTCACTGAAATGTTTGCAGTTAGTTCTGTGTTCACACTAGCAGTTTCTGATATGTTCTTAGGATGGTGTAGTAACGTTTTCCCCATGTTTCTCCTGTTTCTCTTTTTATTTTTAGCTTTGCATAATTAACAGACTCTACTAGCTGTTAGTCTGATAGGCCTGTAGAGGTCTTGCAGCTGTGGTTCTTCAGTTACATTTTCAAATTAACTTTGTCAGGTAAATACTAGGTCTGATGGACTGGGGTACAGCTTAGCTGGCGGAGTATTAGCCTGGTATGCACAAGACGCTGGGTTCAGTCCCCAGCAGCAAGCACGCACACACACTACATTGTTACTTTTATTGTGCATGTGCATGGTGTAAGTGTGTGACTGTGTGCTATAATGCATGCACAGAGGCAGAGGACAACCTTGTGGAGTCGCCTCTCTACTTCCACTTTTATGTGGGTTCCAGGGATTGAATTCAGGTTGCCGTACTTATGTAGAAAGTGCCCTTACCTACTAGCCATCTCACTGGACCGTGGAAATGTTTTGGTGCCCAGTTTATATGTCTTAAAAAAAAAAATCCATCCCTGGGGCTAGTGAGATGACTCCAGTGTTAAAAGCATATCCTGCTTTTTCAGGGAACTTGAGTCCAGTTCCTAGCATTCTTGTTAGACAGCTCACAACTGCCTGTAATTGCAGCTCCAGGGGAATTAAATGCCCTCTTCTGGCTGCTTTGGTTGCTGCACTCATACCTATAAACCCACTCTGACACATACATATACACTTAATTAAAAATAAAAACAAACCTTAGAAAATAATATTCACTCCTTTTAGAAATCTCATTAAAAATAACACTAGAGAAATTTCTATGTAAGTGTTAACTTTTTCTTAATAAACATAGGAGTAGATTATTATTGGATTAAAAATTTTTTAAAGGTCCATGAAATATACTAATCAACAAAAAAATCTTGAAAATGGAGAAAGACGTGGCTCCAAAAGAATTATTATGGGGTTAAATTTACGTGGTAAGGCAGGAGAGATGGCTCGGTGGTTAAGAGCACTGACTGTTCTTCCAGAGGTCCTGAGTTCAATTCCCAGCAACCACATGGTGGCTCACAACCATCTGCAATGGGATCTGATGCCCTCTTCTAGTGTATCTGAAGACAGCTACAGTGTACTCATATAAATAAAATAAATTTAAAATTTTACATGGTAAACTTAATTTCTTTTTATTCTAACAGAAATCTACTTTAGTATTTTATATATCTGATCTTCATGTTTTTTTATAAACAAAGATTCCTGTTATCTGTCTATATTTAGTCAGCAGGGAATTGATTAAACTGACAGAACTCAAATCTAGTATTCTGTTTATTCTTTGTAAGACTTAGTTTTGTATCTAAAATGACAAAGATGGAGATGTTTCCTTCAGTGGTATCTGACCTCTCTTTCTCTACTTACTCACTTAGTCGGAACCAACTGTCAACATTGCCAGTCCACTTGTGTAACTTACCGCTGAAAGTCTTAATCGCTAGCAATAACAAGTTGGTCTCGCTTCCTGAAGAAATTGGGCATCTCAGACATTTGACGGAACTTGTAAGTTAACATTTTATTTTTTTATTGTCCAACATATCTGTAGTATTCTATATGATAAAAATCAAATATCAAGTTTGTTGTTAAGGGCTGGAGAGATAGCGCAATGGTTAAGAGCGCTGACTGCTCTTCCAGAGGTCCTGAGTTCAATTCCCAGCAACCACATGATGGCTCACAACCATCTGTAATGGGATCTCATGCCCTCTTCTAGTGTGTCTGAAGACAACTGCAGTCTATTCATATACATTAAATAAATAAATAAATAAATAAATAAATGAAACCTACTACTAAAAAAAAGATTATTTTTAAAATAATTTTATAATGTTGGCTTGGCAATTTAATTAAGAAAGACTTCAGTGTACAAGTCTTAATATCGCCACACAAAATGGGGAAATATCATTGGTTATTTTCTTTTTTATAATTTATTTTTATTTATTTTTTAAATCAAATCATAATTTTTACTTATTCACAGAGGGGTTATAAACGCAAAAAGGCAGGACGTGGGGAAGGGGATGACACCGGAGTGTGGGTGTTCAGTTCAGGGGGAGTACAGATATCTTTCAGAACAGGGTATCGTCTGGGTGAAGGTTCAGGGGACAGGTCACTGTGACTTTGTCTGTGATTCACTTGTCCTTATCTAAGTTGGTATTATCCACCAAGGCTACATTGGTTACTTTCTATCCAGTATTAAATGATTTCTGTATTACTGAACTTTTGAGACATAAGTTAATAATGTAGTTGGGTTTTCAAATTTTAATTTTTATATCAATATTTTTTATGATTTTTATTAGCCTTTATAGATGAATGGGCCCTCCAAAAGTTACTCTTTGATTTTTTTTGTATGTTTGTTTGTTTTCTCGCCATACCTTTGGAATATGTAGCTAACTATAATTTGCTATTACATATTTTCTAAGATACTATTAAACTTAATCTACTGTTATTTGTGAATATGCAAGAAACCATCTCTTTTTTGTTTGGTTGGTTTTCTCAATGCAGTATTGTTCTGTGTAGCCTTTGCTGTCCTGGAACTTGGCTCTTTAGACTACACTGGCCTTGAACTCACAGAGATCTGCTTTTCTCTGCCTCCCAAGTGCTGGGCTTAAAGATGTGCCCCACCACTGCCCGGCCTAAGAAACCATCTCTTTTACCTTTCTTTTTTTTTTTTTTTTTGGTTTTTCGAGACAAGGTTTCTCTGTGTAGTCCTGTCTGTCCTGGAACTCACTCTGTAGACCAGGCTGGCCTCGAACTCAGAAATCCGCCTGCCTCTGCCTCCCAAGTGCTGGGATTAAAGGCGTGTGTCATCACTGTCACCATCTCTTAACTATTTATGTTTTGAGTTAGTTTAGGAGTCAGACTATATCCCCACAATTATATTATGAGCTGGACTAATATTGTCTGCATTTTATAGCTAAGGAAACTAATACTAAGATGACATAATTTGCCAGAGGTTATGTCACCGTAGGATTGGAAATCAGCCTTCTTGAACTAAAGCCTGTTTTGTATTACTTGAAATGATCAAATGCAGCTGTGTCCATTGAGATTTAGGAATACAGGGTTTTGTGTGTGTGTGTGGTTTATTAATAAAGATGGTTGTAAACAGAAAAAGAAAGGTATAAATCTAGTTAGACAAATTAAATTACTTTGGTTGGAAGACTTTAAATGTAACAGGTTATATGGTAAAAATTCACAGACATTAAATCTAGAGTGGGGATTTTAGGCTACTGTTTTTGTGCTAGCTAGATTTGGAAATAAAACCCAAAATGTACGTTTTGGGGGTATTCTTTTAGAACTTGACTTGTTAGCAGGAAGTAGGTATAACACTGTAAGTTCTTTTGTTTATTTTTCCATTTTATTTTGTTTATTTATTTTATTTAAATTTTTTCATCATATAGTTTGATCATATTCTTTTTTTTTTTTTGAAAAAGGTCTTACTTTGTAGCCTGAACTGCCCTTCAACTCTGATTCCCCAAATTTTTGTCATCAAATCATTTAAACTTTTTAACTACTTATTCAATCCTAAACTCTCAGCAGATAGATACATGTTTGAGAAACTACTGTTTTCTTGAAAAGGGGCTAATTGATGCCCTAGGTTATCCAGGGAACATCTGACAGAGGAAGTAACTTTAAAGCCTCTGGTTTCCCTGATGGTATTTTTTACCACTTCCTTCTCTCTTTCCTTCCCACCTCTACATCTGGGTGAGAGTAAATGTCTTTCGATTGACACGGGTGTTTTCTGAGAGGTACAACATAAAGTACTAAAGTCCTTACCACAGACCCAAGTTCCGTGCCTTTTCATCTTCTTTTACTGCCCTTTTTAAGTTCGATGCTTAGAGCACTGGACTTCAAAGTCTAATTTTTGATCCTACTACAGTCATTAATGAATAGGAAAGGTGAAAATTATATTCTTTTCTCTTTTGAAAAAGATAAAATAATGTTTGGGGCCAGCAAGATGGGTCAACAAGTAACAGTGTTTGCAGCCAAGCCAACAATCCTAGTTCCACCCCGAGGCCAAGCGGTAGGAAAGAACCAAATCCCACAAATTGTCCTCTGATCTCCACACTCAGCAATTTTCCCGCTACTTCCTCTGATCCACAAATAAATAATAAACATAATAAAAAGTCTTAAAGCTGTCTAAAGCTTATGGAAGTGCGTGGTGAGCAGCCTGGCTTTGTAAGTGGTATGTCAGCTCTTCACTAGTGTGTTGGAGGGCTTTTAAATACTCACGGACAGCTTGAGCTCCCTTCTGCTACACACGGTTATGGTTTTATAAATCATTCTGTCTGGTCTCAGAATTAAAGAGCTTTTCATTTATTCATCTTGGAAGCTGTAGCTAGTCACTTTTCCAAGCCAATTGAAATCAAACTTTTAAGCAAGCAGCCAGGAGGCTTCGGGGTCCTGTGTATTAGACTCAGACTGACTTAGATACTACCAGCCTGCTTTCCCGTAGCTTAAGCTTTAGTATTTCTCTTTATATGCAGTTGTATGAAAATTAGAGTCATTCCTTACATTTTAATTTTATATTTTTGAACAATCTAACTGGTATTTTGAAAAATGGCAGCTTTTCTGTATGATAATTTTTAATCATTTTTTATTTTATTTAGGATAGTATAAAGTAAAATATGCCTTTTTCTGCTTTACCTTTATACCAACATTTTTATTTGACCTAGTATTCTAGGCTTTCTATTAACATCTTAAGCCATATAATTTTAATTTCAAAAATTTTTATAAACCTATATAAAATATAAAGAATGAGTTAAAAAGCCTAAAAATTAAAATAAATTAAAAAGAGTACAAACTGAATTATTTTCAAGTGCAGGATGACTTTATGTACATACACACACAGACCAGGAAGGGATGTGGTTATTATCTAATCATTTTGTAACTAGTTTAAAGCAGGTAAATTTGTGATTAAAATAATCTTACCTTTGTACTCTTTGAACTAGGATGTGAGTTGCAATGAGATTCAAACTGTACCTTCCCAAATTGGTAATCTGGAAGCCTTGAGAGACTTTAACGTAAGGAGAAATCATCTTCTGCGCTTGCCTGAAGGTAAGAAACGATGGACTAACTGTTTTGCTGGTATTTGTCTTTCATTATAAAGGTCTTTCAGACTGATGGGCACAAGCCAGAACCGTGTACAAGTTAGAGCCAGTACTTAAGCTCTGATGACTTACTTAGCTAGCCTCATCTACTCGGTTGTGCACTTTAGAAAACTAGGAAGACCTGCGCCTCCTGGCATGGGCCTGTTATCCCAGCTGCTCAAGAGGCTGAGCAGGAGGATCCTCGTACAGGCCTGCCAAGTAACCCTGTCTGAATTACAGGGAGGAGAGTCATGAGTCTGAGGCCAGCATCAAGACCCTGTCTTCAGAGAGAGAGGAGAGGAAGACAGAAAAAGACAAAAGAGGGAGAGGGCATGCAGTTCAGTGGTGGAACGCTTGGCTATCGGTGAGACTGGAGGTTCAGTCCCCAATACCAGCAAAACAACAAAATCTTGAGAGAAAAATTTTGCAACCCTTGCTCAGTGATTCCATTTCCATCCTCTTGACTCATGAGCTGTTGTCAGTGTCGGTGTGGAGTTAGCCAAGCACAGCCGTGGGGGGAGTGTAGTGTGCGCTGTTGTCAGTGTCGGTGTGGAGTTAGCCAAGCACAGCCGTGGGGGGAGTGTAGTGTGCCTGATGAGGGGGGTGGTCTGCTGTGATGCATTAATTCGCTTTATAAACGCACTGTGAGGATTAAACAGGGTCGCTAGAGTTGGAGTTGAACTTAATTTTTTCCTTCTCTGGAAACGTTCAAACAAGGTCTGCTGAAGCGTGTGAAGGTGGTACACAATAACAAATGAAGTGAGTCCTATCAGAAGACAGGTTACCTTAGGCTGTCCATAAACTCACATAAACGTGTGGATTTGAGGGACAGAATGATTAAACAAATTAAAATGTATCAAATGCTCACAAACATATGAAAGGAAAGACTGAAAATGAGAATGAGAACCATTTTTAATTAAATTCAAACTATATAGTTTAGTCATGTAAAATTTCTTATATAAATGAGCTTCTATGTGTTTGTCACACACTGCCACAGTGATCAGTTCATGGTGATTTCATTTAATATGTATGGATAGTGTATATATTATTTCATATGTATGTTTTATATATATGAAATAAGAATCATTATGATGAGTTGATTGTAGTAGAATGTGACAGGCACATGAAAGTCCATTTATATAAGAAAATTTCCAGAAAAAAAATACATATATGTCTCTAGACAATTCTCTAGATCAATTAAAAGTAAATTCTAGAAAATAATTCATGAACATTTCAGAAAGTGTATTTAGCACTAAGAACTGAGTCTTGTATGATGGTGTATGCCTGTACCTCAGCACCAGCAGGACGGGCTGGAGTGAGTGTGAGACCTGCCTCACTCTAGAGACCATGTCCCAAAGTAAACAAAGAAGGAAGCACAACAGCAACATTTTCGTTACAGAGATCTAGGTTCTATAAGACGTGACAGAATTTATAATAAATGTTAAATAGTGATAGTTTTGCTTTTACTGCAAAGTCCAAACATGTATTCCAATTTGATCAAGTGAAATGATTAGTTGTAACCTATGTTTGACATTTTTGGATCTGCAGTAAACACATTAGAAAAGGATTTCCTCAGTTCCCCTTTGTACATCACTCTAGCTGGCATCCCCCATGCTGTCACTGAACTTGTCTGGTCTCCTTCACACCCACCCCCTTGCCCTCAGGCCTTTCCTCCATTGCCTCTTGGTACCACAAACTCAGGATGAGAATAGAAGCTCCCAGGAAAACAATAAGTATGACCCGTGTCTTAATAATCCCACACATTCATTTCTCTGTCTTCCTCTCCCTCCCTCCCTCCCTCCCTCCCTCCCTCCCTCCCTCCCTCCCTCCCCACTCCCAGTATTCAAGTTTCAGTGGAGTGTAGCCTTGAACATGGGCCTTGTGCACAGTAGGCAGGTTGCTATTGTTAAGCTGTTCTCCCATCTCACTTTTTCTTGTTTTATTTTCATTTTGAAACAGTTCACCTTGCTTTGGCTGTCCTGAAATTTCAATCCCATGTCTCAACTCCTAAGTAGCTGGGATTACACCCACCAACCCACTTACAGTGCCAGGTCCAAAACTCTCTCTCGAGGGCCAACCCTTTAATCAGGGCCTAGTCACCATCTTCTAGGCTTGCTCATGGGGTAGGATGAACTATTGATGAAAATAATTGAAGTTTGAGATTTTGTATGTGTGTGTTTGGGTTTTTCCCCCTGATAGTGTAGCCTAGGCTAGTCTCAGTTTCACAACACTCCTGCTTCAGCCTTATGAGTGCTGGGATTGCAGGTTAGTGTCACCACGCCTGGCAGCACTGAGGTTTTGATGAAAATGGGGTTTTCGGATGACAAATACAGTGTAAATCATCCAATTTATCTCTATTATAGACTGTTTTAAATATGAATTACAGTTCTAAATGTTTAATTGCATGGTTTGTAATCAGCATGCTTACTAGCCTGAGATGGCAAGAAGTTTATTTGAGCATTAATTAGTAATCTATAACATCGTTTTTTAGTTGGTGCGGTATCTTTTCTTACATAACCATTTTTATCTTTAATTAATTTTTACTAAATATCATTCAAAAGATAATAAAAGCTCAGAGTAATTATTAATATTTCTTTTCCTCATGCTATCTCCACCCCTACTCCACTCCTAATATTCAAGTTTCAGTGTCCAGGAGCATTTTTATTAGTTTTGTTGGCTATTTCCTCTAGTATTTTTTGACTGTTTTTAAAGGGAGGGAAGATGGTTTGGGGGACGGGGGATTGGAGGCATAGTCTTGCTATAGAGTTGTGGCTAGCCTGGAACTCACACTGTTAAAACCTAGGCTTCTAGCCGTTCTCCTGCCCTAGCCTCCTGAGTGTGTTTACAAGTGCTGCACCTAGCTGACTTGGGATTGAGACCTGGTAGCTGAAAGTACAGCCAGCCATTTCAGTCTGGAAGATCTGAAGAGCTTGCCTTTTTTCCTGCTCACTAAGCTTCTGTGATGCTGCTGCCGTAATGTGGGCTAACTCTGCATGCTGGTTATGTAAGGCCTCTTCATACTGTTGTCTTGAGATAATTGTTTTGCCTTTCCCCTCAATCTTAGATTTATTTATTTGGGTGTGTGTGCATGTGCCACCATGTAGTATGTGATCAGAGAACAATTTCATTCATTCCTTCTTTGTGTGGATTCAAGGGTTAACCTTTTAAGACTTGGCAGGCAGCAAGCTCTTTTTTTGTGTTTTATGTACTGAGTCTTTTTTTTTTTTTTCCTTTGAATAAGCCAGAGTCTCCCTGTGCTCCCTGTATAGCCCTGGCTGTCCTGGAACTCTCTGTGTAAACAAGGCTGGCATCAAATTCACAGGGATCTGCCTGCCTCTGCCTTCCAAGCGTTCCCAAGGCCTCCCGTGTGCCACTACACCTACTTACTGGGTCATCTTGCTGGTCCCCCTCCCTCTTCTTGATAATTTCTTTTCTGGCTTTTCTGTTCCATTTTTCAAACTGAATGTTGTGACTAAATCTTTGATCCTTTGAGTTTTCTTAATTTTTTTTCTGCACCATTTTGTGTTACTTTAGAGTAAAATAGTTCAATCCTTGAATTTTTTAATTTCTGAAATTCAGTCAGAATTTTCAGTTTATACCATTATAAAATGCTTGCTATGGCATGACTTTTTAGAAAAAAAACATTTTAGTGATTTCATATCGTATTTCCCTGAAATTAAAGACAACGGTTTTCCAAATTTCCTTCTGTTCCTATATACTTATTTGTTCTTTGTTTCTTCTTTTATTAGTTCATTTTTGTTCTTGTCTTACATGCTGTTGGAGACTTTTCAGTATCTCTGGGTTAGGTACAATCTGCACACAGCATCATAGAAGTTCTGAGTACATTGGGCAGAAATTGTTGAAGGGTAATTAAGCAAGAGGCTATGCATTATACTGAGAGAACCTCCATGTCAGTATCTAAAGATCTTTTATATGGGACTGTGTGGTTTCTCCAGAGAACAGTGTGTCTAGCATCTCTTGTTTACAATGATATGCATTTCTTATTACTGACCTTCAGGAGTGGGCTAAGGCAAGGCAGTGGAGAAAGTGGCGCTGCTGTTGTCTTTACTTTTATATCCTCTGTCTCCAACTGTTGGCACAGTCTCACTCCCGTGGAGCCTCGCTCCCTGGGTCTGGAGCCTGTTGGTACGATTTCAGTAGAGGATAACTTTCTGGTTCCTGTGGTGTGATTGTGAGTGGCCATCTGAGTGACTTGGGACTGTGGACACAGGCATCTTTTGTGTAACTTTAGCTGTTTATAATAGACTCCAGATATCCTCCATTTGTTTGTTTGTTTGTTTATGGTGTCTAGTTTCTGAGAACTAAGTAGTCCTTGGAACAGGGAAAGAGTCAAACTGCTTGATTTTTGGTAGTATTCCAGTCTCTAAGCAATCAGATTTTCTTTTATACCTTGTTAGTTTCTAAGAATAGAGGTAAATGATTTTTCAAATTCTCTACAATTAACTGGAAACGTGTAAAAACTGGTTTCAAAATAATCAGTGGTTGTTCCTTCCACTTTACTTCCATGCAGAGTTGGCAGAGGTGCCTTTGATACGACTCGACTTCTCGTGCAATAAAATCACAGTGATCCCTGTTTGTTACCGGAACCTCCGGCACCTCCAGGTGATAACCTTGGATAACAACCCGCTTCAGTCGCCTCCTGCACAGGTAACCATGGGTCAAGTCTGCTGAAGGCAACTTCTGTTGCAAAGTTAAAGGAAATTCTCCTTGTATGCACTGTGTCTGTCTTGTCATTCACCACCACCATACACTCTCTTAGGAAAGGGATAGAAGAAAGATTTTGTTGTTTCCAAAAGCATTTTCCTTTCATTACTTTGGCACGTTTGCATATTCGTTAGGTGTCTTCCTCAGTCATTCTCCGCCTTACTGGTGCGTGTGCGTGTGCGTGTGCGTGTGTGTGTGTGTGTGTTTGGAGACAGTACTCCAAAAATACTGAGCTCTCCCTTCTCTGTCACTGAACTTGGAGTTCAGCGATTGAGCTAGCCTGACCAGCCAGGAAGCCTGAGCCTCCCGCCTCCACCTCCCAGTGCCTGGTGCTTTCATGTGGGCACTGAAGATCCAAAGCCTCTTGCTTGCACAAGCCAACCATTTGCTGGCTGTGCTTTCTCTTTCTCCCTAGTCCTTAAGCACTTTAAGTTGAAGAATTTCTCAAAAATTAGTTTTCTGGCCTGGTGGTGGTGGTGGCACATGCCTTTAATCCCAGCACTTGGAGGCAGAGCAAGCCGATCTCTAGTTCCAGGGCAGCCAAGGCTACACAGAGAAACCCTGTCTCGGAAAACAACAATAACAAAAGCAAAACAACAACAATAAAGAAGCTAGTCTTCTAATAAGATTTGAGTTAATCGTTTTGTAATTTTTCTCCTATTAAAGCTTGAATTGGAGAACATAAATGGCATAGACAGCAGCCTTCCAAACTAAAAGTTATCAGTGTATTCATGTTGTCTTGTTTCTGTGCCTCCCTGCTTCCTGTAGCGCTAAGTTCCTCATTTAACCTGGTGGCTCATTTGCTTGTAAGTAACTAAAATAAAGCTAGTAACTGTGAGGTAGATTATATCCTATAAGCCATAAAACATTTGCCACATCCATAATTTTCACTTTGAGCTTTGTTAAAAGTTACTTTTTTCCATTGAATCTTACACATGTGCTCTGGCATGTGGAATTCAGGGGACAAGTTCTTGGAGTTGGTTCTCTCCCTTTATGTGGGTTCCAGGGAACTCTCACTTTGCAGGCTTATGATGGTCATTATAGAATCTGTAAAAGTTATAGGAGAACTTCATAACTACACAAAGGTTTGTATTAGTCAGTTTTTAATTGATGACAAAGTATTTGAGAAAAAGTAAGTTAAAAGAAGTAAGGTTCCTGGTTTCAGAGGTTTCAGCCATCTGACTCCATTGCTATGGACCTGTGGTGAGACATGGTATCCTGGCAACAGGAGCATATGGTAGAAGAGGCTGTTCACTTCACAATAGCCAGGGAACAGAGACAGAAAGGAGGGCTTCAAGGACTACTAGATATACCCTTCAGAGGCCTACAGTGTTGTCTTCCTCCAGCCAAGCCCAGGCTTCTTTTGGACCATATAGCCAAAACATATAAGCCATATAGCCATGAAATAAGTCATCCTGCATTAATTCACTGATCACATTAGACTTGATCCAGTCACTGCTTAAAAGTCAGCTGACAGCTAAGCTTTTAACACATAAGCATATTTAGTCTCAAAATTATAAAGTATTTCATCAGCCTAGAGAATTTGTTTGACTCATGTGACAGGACACATCAAAAATTGGATGTGTATAAATTCACCATTTTATCATTGCTAATTCTTTCCTACAGAGATCAGCATGTAAAATGTAATTGTACATGATTAATACCTAGAGAGAAATCTTTAAAGTCCTGGGCTGTGTATAACTAATCAGTGTGTGTTTAATAGAGATGCCTTAAAAGCCCAATTTATGTTACACCAAAAGCTAATTATGATTAAAAAAGAGAGAACATCCCGGAGGCTGGAGAGGTGGCTCATCAGTTAAGAACACTCTGTTTTTCAGGGAACCTGGTCCCACTGGTGACCCAGCATCCACAGGGCTGCTCACAAATGTTTGGAACTCTAGTTCAAGGGGATCTAATATTCTCTTCTGGCCTCTGTGGGTACCAGGCATGCACATGGTACACAGACATGTATGCTAATAGAACACCTATACACATAAAATAATATTAATATTTTTAAAAGAACACGTGAATTTTGGATAAATAGTAATTTGACTGCATTTGTTATTTTATTTAGATATGTATAAAAGGCAAAATTCACATATTTAAATACCTGAACATACAAGCTTGTAAGATCGCTCCAGATCTGCCAGATTATGAACGGAGACCCTTGGGATTTGGCTCCTGGTAAGTAATGTTTTATTCTTGGGTCATAATATGTCACAGAGAAAATCAAATAAACTTTATTCTTAAATTGTCTAGCCTCAAAATGCTTATATCAAATATGAATTGGTTACATAGATCCTATAAAGTGTAGTGGAAGAGGCTGTTCCCTATGGTTAGCATCCTGGCCTCTACCTCCTAGAAACCAGTAGCACACTGAAATGTTTCTAGATAGCCAAATATTGCCACTATCCCTGGCAGGCCCCCAGTTAAAATTCACTGGTTTGAATAGCTTGAATACTAACCTTAGCTCTGCCACTGAAAAGATGTCTGACTTACAGCAAGTCACCTGAACCTTTGCTTCATTCCCTTGATAAGTGTAAAGAGGGATTGGCTTTGTTGCATGTTGACATTACGTCAGGATCTTTTAGTCTGTGAAGCCCTTAGTGACATAGCACGAAGTGCGGTGTAAGATCATCTGTCTGCTTGGCACTCCCAATTGTGTGGAGCAATACTAAGTATAGGAATTCAATTAATAAGTCTTCCAAAAGTTGAGATAGCTATCCCAGTAAAGATGTTATGATGCTCATGGACTTTACCCAGGAGAGAACTTCCCAGGCTTTGTTTGGAACCTGTCAGATTTTGCTGAGACCACAGTCCAGATGAGCTTGCTTTGCAATTTTCTAGACTGAAATAGATCAACAAATGTCTGTGTGGTTTCTAAAAGCAGATATAGCCAGGCATTGGTATGATATATTAAATATGTATCATATTCAGAAAAGAGAATTTATTATAGCTTTAAGGCTTCATTAGAAATTATTAAAATGAAAGATTGAAGTGTTTCATATTATACAGGAGTACTCTGAAGCCGTCTGAAATTGCACATATATACAACAGGTCTTGTCGGGTAAATAGAGTGTTGTTACCCCATGGGGACTTGAGTCCCACTCTTTGCTGCAGATTCCACCTCCCTTAGGGTCCTCCTCTCTCAGCTGAGCATGTGGCATAGACAGGCATTACTCAGAAAATAATTGTTGGATGAAAGAGACACTGATTTAAGCGACCAATACTGCTTTCCTCCATGTAAAATCATCAGAAGATCTTTGTAATGACATTCCAAGGTGCTTAGTCTGGCTATTAGATTGAAGACTTGAACACTGAGGGATATTTGAACAACAGCTCTAACCTAGTTGCTTAAGCATAAACTAATGCAGCAAAGAGACCGACAGTCACACTGTAGCCATACCTACCAAGAACACCCTCAGTTCAGTGTTCATCTGTGGGAGGACTGGCATGGGGAAAAGATACTAAGGCCGTGCTAGGTGAGCTGTGGGGCAGTTGGTGGAGATTGAGTGATGTCCTGTGCCATGCATAGCCTCTTGGAGGAGGGGAATGCTGGCAGTGAGGACCACAAAATGACTCGGGCCTTGCTGCCAACTGTTTCATTTCACGATCTGTTTTCTCTTTCTGTTGCTTTTTCTCCTAACTCAGTTGGTTGCTCTTGATATGGAAATAAATTCTTGTTAGGTGTGAACAAAAGCCTTGCTTTTCCTATTTTAAGTTTTCATTAAAGATATTTTATGTGGTACTCTAACAAGACTTACAACAAATCAAAGTTGGCTTTTCTTTCACGTGTACACAATTGATTTTCTGTTGGAGTTGGTGATCCTTGGAAAGAAAGCTCCTCTCCCCTGAAATAGCAGAGTAGGAGCATGAAATTGCTGCTGCCACTGCTGTGGGGTTTGAGTGTGAGCTGTGAGCTGGCTAACGATGGTGGATGCAGGAGTGTGTTTGAAGACCCACCTGAGGAGACAGTAAGGAACGGTGTGCTTTGATTGAGGGCTCAGTTACTGTTCACAGGACCTGCTTCTCTGTGACCTGATCCTTAGTTCTGAGACTGGCCTAATTCATTTTTGAAAATACTGTAGTATATACAGTGTCTTAAATACGTAAAGGATTAGTTAAATTATGTGGCAAAAGACTTCGGTGCATATTTGCTAACAGATAAAGGGCTTGAATTAATGGAAAAATGTTCTTTCAGGTTTCTGAGTAAATGAGAAATCTAAATAGCATAAAGATGTCATTTCTCTCCAGAGGAGTCAGAAGTGTTAGAAGTGACACATTGCAGTCTCTGTCACACTCTCTAGTTATGTCAGTCATAATAATTAGACTGCTTTCTAGATTTTCTGTTTTTTCAGAGGCAAACTGCTGTTTCAGCATACTAGAAATTTTAATTTGTTACATATATTTCTATATAGCTGGCCCTCTGTTTCCATGGAGTCAATCAAGTGAATTGAAAGTATTCAGGAAAAAAACGAGATGGGCCTGTGCTAAACATTTTCACTTTTCTTTCATCATCATTCCTTAAACAATGCAGAATGGCAGCTACTCCCATGCCCTGCAGTGTGTTAGGCAGCTGAGTGATTTGAGATGGTGAGGGACATAGGCAGGACATTAGTTTGGGTAACGTGCGTCTATATTTTCTCCTCCTCTACCCCGTCAGAAGGCTTAAAACGGGGATGGCTTGAACCCAGGAATTTACACTCATCATAGACAACCCTATCTCAAATAAATCCTGCTGGGTAGGGTGGTACATTCTTGTAATCCTAGCATGTGTGAAAATTATCTTCAGCAACATAGGACATTCAAGGCCAGCCTAGGCTATATAAGACCCTTTCTTAGCAGCAACAACAAAAATACATAGATTATATCCATAGACTTTATGGAAATGCTTTGATATCTTATGGCATCATTTCAGTCTCCCTGGATTTGGATGTCTGAAGAATCCTGGAACTAGTCCCTCGTGAATATTGAAGGGATACTTTAGATGTAATATTTCATTTCACTCCTCAGGTACTAGGGAATGAAATGTTGTACCTTCCTGGTTTTCTTTCAGAGGAACAGATTAATAAAATTGTGTTGTAGCCGGGCAATGGTGGCACATGCCTTTAATCCCAGCACTTGGGAAGCAGAGACAGGCGGATTTCTGAGTTCGAGAATAGCCTGGTCTACAGAGTGAGTTCCAGGATAGCTAGGGCTCCACAGAGAAACCCTGTCTCAAAAAACCAAAAAAAAAAAAAATTGTGTTGTAGTTATTGACTATCCATTCAACGAGTAGGCATGGAGTCAGAGGCTCTTGGTTTTGAGTTTCTGTCGTCTTAGGGTACTAAGCTGTTTAATCTCTCGGAGCTTCCATTTTTTTTTTTTTTAAAGATTTATTTTATTGTGAGTACACTGTAGCTGTCCTCAGATACACCAGAAGAGAGCATCAGATCATATTACAGATGGTAGTGAGCCACCATGTGGTTGCTGGGAATTGAACTCAGGACCTCTGGAAGAGCAGTCAGTGCTCTTAACCACTGAGCCATCTCTCCAGCCCCCAAGCTTCCATTTTCAATGTAATCATTGTGCTGCTTATTACTCTAGCAGTAGTTCTAAATATCAAATATCCTGAATCTGAAAGTTCCTTAAGTGACCATAAAAATCTATGTAAATATTAGGCATGATCATCAGGCTGGGATTGATGAGCTAGGTAGAGTCCAGGCCTCCTAAAGAGTCCCTTAACTCAGCCGGGCAGTGGTGGCGCACGCCTTTAATCCTAGCACTTGGGAGGCAGAGGCAGGCGGATTTCTGAGTTCAAGGCCAGCCTGGTCTACAGAGTGAGTTCCAGGACAGCCAGAGCTATACAGAGAAAACACTGTGGGGGTGGGGGGAGTCCTTTAACTCTTGGAACATTCAGGACAAATGACACATGCGTAGATTTCAGTTCTTAGATTTACACATCTTTTGATCTTGTTTCATATTTTGTTTATTTGTTTGCTTGTTTGTTTTTTGAAGGTTTATTTATTTTATGTATGTGAATACACTGTAGCTGTCTTCAGAAACACCAGAAGAGGGCATAAGATTCCATTACAGATGGTTGTGAGCCACCATGTGGTTGCTGGGAATTAAACTCAGGACCTCTAGAAGAGCAGTCAGTGCTCTTAACCTCTGAGCCATCTCTCCAACCCGTTTTTGTTTTTTGAGACAGCATCTCACTATATAACCCTGGCTGGCCTGGAACTTGCTATGTAGACCAGGCCAGCCTTGAACTCAAATCTTCCTGTCTCTGCTTCCTGAGTGCTGGAATTAAAGGTATGCACCATCTTGCCTAGCCAGATTTAACCATCCTTATGTTTGTGTATAATTTTTTTAATGACCCACAAGTTTAGCATAGTAGTACCTACCTTAATCCTTGCACTTGGAAGCAAGCAGAGGATCCTGAGCCGATACCACACAAGATTCTGTCTTTAACTACTAAATGGCATGGGAGTAGTGGCCAAAGTATAAAATATAATTAATTATATGAAAATGTCTTTATAAAATACATTAATAGGTGAAATAGTAGGTGCCAATAAAAAATTTATTTAAAAAAAGACAATACCACCACAAACCCCAGCACCCACAGAAACTCCCAGAAATGAATTTATAAAAATTCTAAATTTTTACTAATTTCCAGATACATGTGTTCCCATCACCAACATGGTGAGTTGCATTCATCACCTTTGCTTTGTTTAGTGGCACTGTGGTTTTCATTAGTGAGATACAGAGACTCAAGATAGGTTTCTTTGTGGAACCCTGGCTGTCCTGGAACTCACTCTGTAAACCAGACTGACCTCAAACTCAGAGATCCTCCTGCCTCTGCCCCCAGAGTGTTGGCATTAAGAGTATGCTCTACCACTGCCTAGCTGAGACCTTGTTTTTGATAAGATAATTTTAAGCAGCTTTATGTTATTGACTAAACATATTTATTTCTGTTGATGTGACTACAAACCCAAACTAAGGAAATACTAAGCCACTACAAAAAAAAAAAATCCATCTAGCTAGTATTGATAGAGTATTTATAATCTTAGCACCCAGGAGGGTCATGAAAAATTTCTAAAGAAAAATTTCTCTAACTTTATATTTAATAATTCACATTACACAAAAGTTGGTAAGGTAGTACAATGAATAAGATGTTTTATTGATAATGTTTCTAAGATTTGTCTGAAAGCCCAGATCTTAAAGTATCCTGTGCATTTCAACACAGCAAAGTCAGGGCAACGTGACCAAGTGTAAAAGAGCTACCTAGTGAAGTACATAAGCCATGCCTATAAAGTGGACCTTTCGTCTGTCGTTAAGGAAATAAATTTAAGCCTGGTGGTAGTATCACACGACATTAATCCCAGTGCTTGGGAGGCAGAGGAAGGCAGATCTGAGTTCTAGGCTAGCCTGATCTACAGCAGGAGTTCCAGGACAGCCAGGGCTATTCAGAGAAACTGTCTCAAAAAAAAAAAAAAAAAAAAAAAAAAAAGGAAAAGAAAAGAGGTGTATTAGACATACTTCAGGGGTAGCTGGCTGACTGGGAACAGAGGTTAAGTGATAATATCCAGTTGTCATTTTATGTTCTGGTACATCGTGACATGACTTTATAACTCATAAAAATTATATTCATGAATCAAAATAATATGGAGTATCAAAATCACCATCAGAAGAGCACTGTATGTTAGTCAGACATGCTAGTAGTACATGCCTGTAATCCTAGCACTTGAGAGATGGAAAACAGGAGAATCAAGAATTCAAGGCCAATTTGGACAGAATAAAACCCTGTTTTAAAGAAACAACAACAATAACAAAAAAAACCTATTTATTTTAAATTTACAATTTAAAGTTGTTTTTCTACTTAGGAAGATTTATTAGATAAAATACTAATGCACTAATTTAATTGGATTTGTTATTTTTAGATTTCAAATTAAGCTCTATCTTTAAAGATTATTTTTAAGTATGTTTAAAAAGAAACAAAAAGTAAAGGTATAAAACTCCTGAGACTGTACCTCTGGGGCTGGGAGACAGCTCAGTTGAAATCTTAAGAACTTGAGTTTAGATCCCCAGCACCCACTTAAAAGCCTGGGCATGGCAGTTCGCATCTGTAATCCCTGCACTAGGGAGGCAGAGACAGGCAGATCCCGAGAGCTTACTGGCCCGCCATTCTAGCCAATTCTGAGCTCCGGGTGCACTGCAAGACACTGCTGGAAAATAAAGTGGGGAATGATTGAGGAACACACACACATACACACACACGAATATCCTGCTGATCACAGAGATGATGATAGCTATAAAAGAAAAAAAAAATAAGCTAGACTTCATCAACCTAGGAACAGCTATCCATCCAGAGAAAGTTAGCAGCCATGGCCTGGGAAAATATTTGTAAAGCAACATGTATCCAGATGTACAACAAATACCTACAACTTAGTAATAAACAACCCAGTGAGAAATGAGCTTGAAAAGGCTCTTCAAAAAGAGACTTATATAGTCAGTACACACAACAAAGTACTCAATGTTGTTATTGATCACAGGAATGCAAATTAAGACACTGACTATCCATATAGAGCCACAGCTGAAGAAAGGTGACATAGCAAAAGTGAGGCTGTAGAGCAGCCAGGGCGCTCAGACATTGTTGACAGAGATGCAGGACAACCAGGGGGCTCAGGCACTGCTGACAGAGGTGCAGGACAACCAGGGCGCTCAGACACTGCTGACAGAGGTGCAGGACAGAGCTTTCAATGTGTTAGCAGCTCTGCTGAGATGTGATGCTCAGACAGTAACCTCTGCTGGGTGGAGTATGTAGTTCTGTGAGTTTGGGGAACTAGCCACTGGCACAGCCAGCATGCACAATTCCATTTCCCTCCCCTCCATCAAAGCTAGTTGTTTTTCTACCACAAGACCCAGCAGATAGCTGACTGCTGTTGACAGTCAGTTTGGCCTGTCTCAGGGTCTTCCATGAGTGGAATCAGGGTGTGGCATCTTGCACTGTTAATGCTTAGCAAAATATCTGAGATTCCTTGATGGCTATATGTATCCTTAGGAATTGTTTTTTGGGGTTTTTTTTTGTTTTGTTTTTTGTTTGTTTGGGTTTGGTTTTTTGTTTGTTTTGTTTTTCGAGACAGGGTTTCTCTGTGTAGCCCTGGCTGTCCTGGAACTCACTCTGTAGACCAGGCTAGCCTCGAACTCTCAAACTCAGAAATCCGCCTGCCTCTGCCTCCCAAGTGCTGGGATTAAAGACGTGCACCACCACTGCCCGGCATGGAATTGTTGCTCAAGTTTCCACACCAATTTAAGACCTAAACACCTCAGAACGGTGGTTTTCCCTAACAACAATAACAAGATGACCAAAATTAACTACAGAGAAGTGTATGAGAATGTTCTGACTAATAGAAATGTCTTCTGTTGTGATAGAATTACAAAGATACAGTATTCTGTTAAGATTATACTGCTAATATTTAAATGTATGTAAATTTTATTTGGAAAAATATTACTAAAGATAAAAACAAGCCAGGTGCAGTGGCATACAAATTTAATCCAGTGCTCAGTGGCAGCAGCACATGGATCTTTGTGAATTTGGGCCATCTTTGTCTACATTATGAGTTCCAGGACATCCAAGGTGGTGTTGTAGACCCTATCTCAAAACACCATAAAATAAATAAAACTTAAAACAAAAACAATAGAGAGATGTAGAGAGTGATACAGGTTTAAAGGAAACAGAAATTACAGCATAGCCGAGGTGTCTGCAGAAGCAGACTGGACGCTGGTTCTGTGTGACTGGGAGAGGAGAGAAGAAAGACAGAGAGAGAGAAGAGAGACAGAGCTTTGGAAATTCAGAGGAAGTGAACAATCCCAGGAACGGGCAGAAAAACAAAAGACAGTATGCCAAGCCGTGGGGACTATGCAGAGAGCAGTGGAGGTGAGGAGAGGATTCAGAGGAGATTCTGGAGATTGTGCTTTAAGAATAAGCTGCAGCAGGGGTGGGGGTGGCAGCTCATGCCATCAGATCCAAATAGCCTAATGATGCACCTGGGGTTCTAGTAAAATGGTAATAATCCAAACCCCAAAGTAGAAAATGGAAGACCATCGTAAAGATTGGGGCAGAAGTTAATGAACTTCAGACTGAAAGAATAACACATAGACTTAATAAGACAGATGGGCATTTAATAAATAATCAAGATTGACAAACCCCTGGCCAAATTAACCACTAGAAAGAGAGAGTAGACACAGAAATTAGAGATGCAAAAGGGGAAGTTACTGCAGAGTTCAACAAAATATAGAGAATTGTTGGAGTATTGTGTTCCAAAACCACAGAAGATTTCTTAAGTGGGTAAATTCCTAGACACTTATGACCTACAAAACTAAGAAGGTATAAAAACTTAGGGCAATAACAATCAATGAGATTGAAGCTGTAATCAAGTCTCCAACAAAGAGAGGTCCAGGACCAGATAGATTCATGCCTAAATTGTACCAAATTAAAGAGGAGCTGGCACCAGTGCTGTCCATTGACAAAGTAAGAACACTGCCAGACTTACCCGAAAGCCAGGATTTTACTACTGCCAAAGCCAGATAAGGATGGTGTTCTCCTTTGTGTGAGGACCTGTATTTGCATGCGTGTGAAAGAGGATCCTGAGTGTGGAGGAAGAGATCTTAAGGAAATGGAAACAGAGGGCAGTGGAAGACCTGTGATGAAAAACAGAAAGAGGGTTAACAGGAGAAAGAAAACAACTGAGAAGGAGGGAAGGAGGGAGGGAGGGATGTGAACCCATGACGGCAAAGTGTGATGGCACCAAGTATGGAGAGGCTATGAAATGAAATCCATTGCTTTGTAAGCTGACGTTAAAAGTGAGTGCAATGAAAACAGAATTGAGCAGTGGTGCTTTTCAAAGTGGATTCTGAGTTTGGGGCTCATACTATTCTGTTCACTTTGTTCCTGTTTGGAATTTTCTTCTTAAAAAGCTCAGAGAATGATCCGTTAGCTATAATAATTATGTGGCCAAGTGTCATGAGAGTGTTGGTTAATAAAATTGTGACTGGTTAATTTCAAATGCTACATTAAAAATTATAAAACCTCATAGTAACAAGCAACACTTATTTTGGACAGCCATGAAGAACTGTACTCAGGCCGTCCTTACGGAGCCCTTGATTCAGGCTTCAACAGTGTGGATAGTGGTGATAAGAGATGGTCAGGGAATGAGGTAAGTGTTCTTCTGTTCATGTGTTAAAACTCCTGATTTAGAAAAAGAAATTAAATTAACATGGGAATATCTAAATTGGAATTCAATTTATTAGGTAAAATAGAGAAATGTCAAGAAGCAAAAACCCTACATAGTCCTACCATCTGAAAATTCTACACTGTTTCTTTGCTAGCATCTTTTGCCATGTATCTTCTTTCAAGTTTGTTACCGTCTTATGTATGGATATTTGGAAAGCTGAGTAGGAGTTGAGGTGGCTAAAGCTGAAGCCTAGTTGCCTGTGGTAACACATCTCTATAATCCTAGCTCTTAGGAGGCTGAGACAGAAGGACCATGATTTGAAGATAGCCTGGCCTGTGTAGTAAGTTCTAGGACAGCTTGCACTGCATAGCAACTGTCTGACCCCCATGGAAAGCCCTGACATCTAGAACATGAGGGCCAGGATGGTCTGCAGTGAGATGGTGATAGAAGGGGTGTGCTGGAGGCTGGGAAGGTCCACAGGACTGGACTCTGATGGGGGGTGGGTGATGTGGAGCTCAAAAGTGAGTCCTCTCCAGCAGGCCCTGGCTGGAGCCCCACAGAAGATGGAAATCTCAGTGAGTTCATTCACATGCCACAAATTACATGGGTTCTTGTTTTGATTAATTAATACTATAGATTTTCCACCATTTAAAATTACTAGGATATATTTTGACTATCAGTTAAATGACTACACTTTTGCTAGAGGGGCTGATAACAGACATTTTATAACATTGTGTCATTAAGAGTCCAGACAGAAGCCTAGTGAGTAGCACAATGCCTTGAGTGCCTTGAATCTCAGTGTCAGGAGGCAGTAGCAGGTGGATCTCTGTGAGTTCAAGGCAAATCAGGACTAGATAGTGAGTTCTAGGCCAGCCAGAGCTACATAGTGAGACCCTGTCAAATAAGTAAATAAATTAAATAAATAGTAAGTCAAAATAAAATTAAATCAAAACTTACTTGAAATTTGTAGTTAGGTATATATGTATATATGCATGTATGTATGTCTTGGTGACTTTTTAAATATTGCAATGTAGATAGATAGATAGATAGATAGATAGATAGATAGATAGATAGATAGATTAGATATTTTAAACCTATGTATATATTTACTTACAGTTCTGAATATCCTTCTATTTTTGCTAATTGTGGTAAAGTTTGCCTATTTAAAGTACACATTTCAGTTGCATTATTTGTGTTTATAGAATTATATAATATTTGCTGTCAATTTCTAAAACTTTTTGCTTTTTCTTCTTCTATGTAGATTATAGTTTATATTCTTGTACTCTTATGTTATCTAAAATTGGAAATGATAGTTTTTAATGTTTCTGCTTTTTAAGCCTACAGACGAATTTTCGGATCTGCCTCTTCGAGTGGCGGAGATTACTAAAGAGCAGAGACTACGGAGAGAAAGCCAGTACCAGGAGAGTCGAAGCAGTGTGGTCACAAATGGTGGAGGTACACATGATTCTGATGACATTTAAAGCCTTTATAGTTACCTGGTTATAGAGCAGGGTCGCCTATAACCCTGACTGCCTGACTGGCCTCAAACCGCTTATGTAGACAAGGATGATGTTGAACTTCTGATCTTCCTACCTCCACCTGATCTGTTTGTCTCCTCCTCTCCAGCCCTGGGGGGAACAGGGTGTCCCACCACACCTGGTTTGTAGTGCTGAGGATTGAACCTAGAGCCTTGTGCATGGTAGACAAGGACTTCACAACACAGCCCAGCACACACCTTTACTTTTTTGTTGTTGTTTACAAGAGTTAATTTAGCTTAGGGTTCTAGAGGGACCCAGTCCCTCGTGATGAGGGTACAGCAGTAGACCCGGAAGGCATGGCGACAGAAGTAGGAAGTTGCTGGTCACCTCACCGTTTTGAAGCAGTCTTGGTCACACCCACTCTTTTGTTTGCTTTTTTAGAGATCCTTCACTCTTCTGAAGACTTCTGTTTATATATGACCAAAAAAGTTTACCATTCGGATAAAATTCACTTTCCCTATATTTTCAATTTATAATTAAAATCATTTCTCTTTCATGTTTATTTCAGGGAAAACTTTAGGAAGGACAGTTTATCTGGAGTAGATCTTTGTTCATCTTGATCTTACTACAGTCTTCTGAACAACATTGTCTCTTTTTAATATTCTCCATTTTAAAGAGATTTCCTGAGCATTTTTAGCAATCAGTCATGTTTGCTTGTATTTATTTTGAGCTTTTAAAAATAGTTATCTATTTATTGTCAAGGGGTATGCCACCGCAGGTATGGTGAGGGTAGGAGACAACTTGTTCTCTCCTTCTACTTTGCAGGTCCCAAAGATCAAATTCAGGTCATCAGACATGGTAGCAAATGTTTTTTCCTGCTCAGTCATTTAACTAACACTGTTCAAAACTGAGTTTCCACCCCAGTATCCAGGCTGACCTCAAACTCCTGAATTCAAGTAACCTTATGTCAGCCTCCTGAGCAGCTGCGACCATAGGTGTCTTCCAGCCTGCCCATCTTCCTGCATAGCCTGATGTTTACTTTAATGTTCTCTGGGACTTCTAAATCTCAGCTTTTCATATTCTGACACTTAGAACTTAATAGTTTTTATAAAATAAATTGAATTCTCTCTGCTTCCATGTACTTCTGAAACAGGTTTTAGAATTCTACTCTATATTCTTTTAATTTTAATTTTAAAGCCAAATGTTGGCATTTTGAGGACCAGTGCTGAGGGAGAAATTACATAGATTTTGTAGAAATGTATGTTTTTGAGAAGCACTTGCATTTCTAATGATGTCAGTTACATTTGTTATTTTGTCCTGTCTGGCTTATATTCTTCTTTATTTCTTTCACTTACTGTTCCATTCATATTTTAGTAATTTTATTTTAAATTTTGTTCTCATATGGGTCTTGTGTAGCATATTTCATTGAAGACTGAGTGTCCATTCCAGCTGTGCTTTCAGTGTCCACTAGCCGCGTGTAGGTATCGAGTAGCTCGGATGTGGTATCTGGAAGGTGGGGAGATAGATGGCGTCAGTAGAGAAAATGCTTGCTGAGATAAAATGGGGGGCTGAGTTTTATCCCAAGCATCCTCAGAAATGTAGGCATGGCAGCACACATCTGCAGTCCCAGCGCTTGCTAGGCAGAGTCTGGTAGATCCCTGATGCCCACTGGCACCCACTTTAACCAAAGTGTTGAGCTCCGGGGTCCATGAGAAACTTTTGTTTCAAAAAGTAAGGTGAGGATAAGTGAGGTGCCTCACTGGGTGAAGGTGCTGTAACCAGTGTCTCTGACTTGAGTTTCATCCCTGAGACTCACGTGACGGAAGGAAAGGAGCAGTTTCTGCAGATTTCCCTCTGACATCTACACATGTGCCATGGCATACATGCCCCCCCTCATAAGAAATGTGACTTCTGTTCATCTGCATAGCATACATGCTCTTCCAAGTAATAAAAGTCATCTCCACACATATGGCATATGTGCCCCCTGAATAATAAATGTGACCTCCACCTATGTGGCATGCATATGTACCCCCTGTAAAAAATGTAAAGCAAGAAAAGATCATTAGCTAAACTAAAAGTAAAGTGGCTAACAATGAAAACAACCTCGCACCTCCACATGGACACACATGCACCTGTGACCACTCACACACTTGCACACATGCACACACCACAGATAAACCACATACACAGTTTAAAAGATGAAATGTGGCTTTTCTGAACTGAAATATAACTATAAAATCATCATCAAATTTTGACTGTGCTGATCTGGATAAGTATGAAAACCTGATGTTACTTTCTTGTGAAATAGTCATAATATATAAACTATTCTAGTTGGGAAAATGTTAGATCTTAATAAACTTGTAACACAAACTTCAATTTAATAATAACTGCAATTCAGTTCAATTCAGTGTTATGGCACAGTGGAACAGCATAAAACAGTAGTTGGGGTTTAGTGCATTGCTTGAGAAACTTCTTCACAGCAAGGTCTTTCTTAGAGTGCCATTTTAACCAGCTGTTATAAGTAGTTAGCTTTAACTTAAGAATGATGAATATCCAGAAGCTTACCAGATGCAACAATTATATGGCTATATCTTTAGCTGCCTCCCTTTCCTCTAAAGTATCTCTTTTAGTGGAATAGGCATTTTATTTAACAAGTTATAAGATATTTTTCCAGTCAGTATTTTAATAAAGAATCTTCAAAGGAAAAAATACTTCAGATGATTCTCTTTCGCTACTCATTGCTGCAAAAGAATCTAACACATTAACCTCTAGCAAGTAATTTTCTAAATAGGGAAATCTTTGTTCTCTCTTCTTCTTCTTTTTTTTTTTTTTAGTTTGAGCCACAGGAAGGGAAACAGTCAATAAGTTTTTTTTTTCTCCTACTCCAGTTTCTTCTTCTCCTGTGTCTTTTTTGTTGTCTTCTACTTTCTTTTGAGTGGCTTACATTTTCTGAAGCCCAAACTCATGAGAAGATGTTGCAGCTACCACTCTTTAAACAGCAGCCATCTTCTCTCTCAGACTCAAGCTATCCCGTTTAAAACACCAGAGCCATCCAGAGAAAATAAATGCCAAGGGTCTTTACCTCAGTGGCTCACCCTGAGTTGTTGCATTTTTCAGTGTATTTGGACTAAGGTTTTACAAGAGATGATTTTTGTCAGGAACCATAGACTAAATAATAAAGACTTGTTTCACTGAAACAACATTCTTTCTGCATCCAGGACAGACACAAGAGAAAAGGAAAGTGTAATTTTTTAAGTATTTTATGTATATGAATACACTGTCTCTGTCTTCAGACACACCAGAAGAGGGCATCAGATTCCATTACAGATGGACAGATGGTTTTGAGCCACTATGTGCTTGCCGGGAATTCTACTCAGCCTCTGGAAGAGCAGTCAGTGCTCTTAACTGCTGAACCAACTCTCCAGCCCCAGGAGAATGCAATTTAAGCAACTGCCAAGGCATTTTATTAGCTGTTTAATTTTGAATCTCTCTCTCTCTTTCTTCGTGTGTGTGTGTGTGTGTGTGTGTGTGTGTGTTGTGTACAGTGGAGCATGATCTGGATCAGATTGACTACATTGACAGCTGTACTACAGAAGAAGAAGAAAATGATGTGAAACAGCCCAAAAGCCTGGACACAAACAGTCTCAGCTCACAGTTTATGGCGTATATTGAACAACGGAGAATCTCGCAGGAGGTAGCAGTGTACCCTTTATCCTTTCTAGACTAAAGTTACTGTCCCCACTGAGAACAGCTGGTGATGTAGAGATCCGTGTCATGTCAGTGACTTATTGGCTCAGGACTAATTGTTTGTTTTCCCTTATTGTTTTAGTCCTGTAGTTTTCAGATTTCAATTGGAAATGTCAGAAAGTAGTCTCAAAAATGATTCCAGTTTTATTCCTTAGATAAGCAGGCAGATTTCATTCCTTTGAAGAGGCAGTGAAAGGAGATCTGAGCGTGACCTCAGGCCTCTGAAGGAAGTACACAGGATAGGATACTTCTCGTTGCTAGGTAGTTTTGCTTTCTGGCTGGTCTTTTTTGCTTGATTGTTTTGCTTTTTTATTACTGCTAATCACAAACCTTAATTTGATAGATAATTAAACCAAAGTTGACTTTTGAGAAAATATTCAACTTACCCATAGAATATTAATAAGTTTAATTATACTATTGCTTTTATCCTGAGTTAACAATATAAATTGCTATTAAAATTCTTGGTGTCTTTTATAATGAAGCATTGAATTGGCTAAAAACAAGTAACCATTCAGGCCACTGTAGACTCTCTGCCAGTTCCTCAAGGGTCTCAAGTAAAATAGCATTCTTCAGTCTATCTAGTCAGCATAGTAAAATGGCTTCATTTTAGTGTGTGCTCTGTTGATGTCTGGAGTTTGTCCCAGGCCCTGAGCAGGGGTTGTTTGAGAAACACTAGGGGCCTTTTTGAAAAAACGATGTATTTAACTTTCAGAAATCACGGATCAGTTGCTTCAAGTGGAGGGTGATGTGGAGTAATAGCATTCCTTAAAAGAAGCCTTTGGTTCCTGTTGGAGGCTTTTGAATATAGTGGAGTTTTGTTGTAGTTCAGAAGATACTTGTTTCTAAAATCAGATAAAGTCATACCCTGTAGCCAACAGATAATGACAGACCGTCTGACCAGTGATTGACAAAACTGCCTTATGGTTTAAGCTGTCAGTCTCTCTGCTGGAGCCAAGTGTTACTTTCTAATAAAATTTAAATTAATACTGCAAATACTTTTTAGAGAAATCCCTTTTCTTCTTCTGTCCTCTCTTTCTTTAATGACTTTAAAATGCATTAGGTTGTCTAAGTGAGGTGTCTCTACAGATACTGCCTACTGGCCTACTGAGAAAAGTTGGCTTACTCATTCCCTAGCACGTTGTGGAGGCTCCTTGCAGTGTTTAAACTCTAGCTATGGTAGCCATGTGACTATGGAATAAATAAAGCTCTTGGTATTTTTGTGTCATATAGCTTTCTAAAGTAGGTGTTTGTGAAAGTGTGGTGAAGCCGTTAGTTTAAATTAGCAATCTGTGAAGTTGACACTGATGAAGTAGCTCAGCAGATACAGCTAGGTCTGTGCATAGCTAGTTTCTGAGGGAGTTTGTTTGTTAGACAGGGTCTCTCTACAGAGCCCTGCTGTCCTGGAACTCACTCTGTAGACCAGGCTGGCCTCGAACTCAGAAATCTGCCTCCCTCTGCCTCCCTAGTACTGTTATCAGACATGTGTACTCAACACCTCCCCAGTCTCAAAGGTCCTTATTCTGAAAATATCACTCTGCTTAACCACTAATTTATATAATACAGTGAGACAAGAGCCTTGCAAAAAAATCTATTCATAGATTTTGCATGTTTTTATTTATCAAAGCCCATATAATACAGCTTACAGTTTTGTTTTTTGGGCTGTCTGTGTGTGCGCCCGTGCACGTGTGTGAGCACGTCAGCACACATACCCCAGTGTGTTCAACATGAAAGTCAGAAGACAATTTTGTAGAATTGGTTTTTTCCATCCAGCATTTTTTACGCTCTGGAGATCAAACTTAGGTTGTGGGGTTTACACAGCAAGTGATTTACACCCTGATCCATCTCACCGCCCTTGTTTTGGTTTTTGAGATAGAGTCAGGCTGTCCTCAAACTCATCATTCTTTTGCCTCAGCCTTCTGAGTGTGGATGTAGGTAAAGCCGCACACCATCACACCCTGCTAGCCTGCGTGCTTTTAAGCACAAAGCTCACCGAGGAAAAGCCTATCAAAGTCATTTTCAATGTACAATTTTCTAAAAGTCAAACTAGTTGAATATATGATTACTGCATTTTAATATATTATGTGTGCTAAATTTATTTTCCAACCTTTTTTTTTTTCTTTTTTTTTTGGGGGGGGGGTCTAGGGTTCACCAGTAAAGCCAGTAGCCATTAGAGAGTTTCAAAAAACAGAAGACATGAAGAGATACTCACATCAAAACAGGTTTGTAAAAGCAATTCAGCTTAATTCTTTTTTTCTTGAAACTTAGTAGTAAGTGAATTGATTTTATTTTGTGCAAATCCAAATATAATGAAGGTATTTGGCTTATGTGTGTCTTAGAGGCTGTTTAAAACTAGATCAGTCTACATTTGTTTTAACACCATATTTAAAAAGAGTAAAATTACTTGGTTCCAAATCCAGACCCTTACTTTAGAATTAATTGGTTTGAAAGTACTTAATAGTAATGGAATTTTGTGAGGATAAGTATTTATTTAAGAATAGAAAATTTAAAGATTTTCAGAAACCCTATATTTATTCCTTCTGCATATATAGTCTTTCCACTGTACTTAGAGTCTTCCTTCTTCTAAATCAGCTCAATGCTGTTTTTCATTCTAGAATTCCAAAATGATTCTGGCTATAAACTATATCACAGTAGTTAATTTTTGTTATTTTAGTCTCTGATCTTTGTGTTTGAAATCTTAAAAAATAGTAGGTTTGATATATCTGTTCTTTTTGTTTGTCTGTTTGTTTATTTGTTTTTCAAGTCATGGTTCCTCTATGTAGCCCTGGCTGTACTAGAACTCACTTGGTAAACCAGGCTGGTCTTGAACTCAGAGATATATCTGTTCTTTTTTTTTTTTTAAGATATATTTATTTATTTCATGTATGTGAGTACATTGTTGCTACCTTCAGACACACCAGACGAGGGTGTCTGATCCCATTACAGATGGTTGTGAGCCACCATGTGGTTACTAGAAATTGAACTCAGGACCTCTGGAAGAGCAGTCAATGCTCTTAACCACTGAGCCATTTCTTCAGCCCAATATGTCTGTTCTTAAGTGACAGGAAATTTACTATGTAGTATTTATCATTCATCTATAGATCTTTATACCAAAAGCATGCTAATGTTGTCTCAGGAACTCTGAAGTAGCTGGAATAAAGAAAATGTTGTTGTATCAGTATTGTAAGTGATACAGCTCTGAGGGGAAAGATATCCTGGCAGTTGAAAGCCAAGGAGTACCAAAGTCACACCTTACAACAAACCTCACACAAGAGATTTATTGGCAAAGACACAGGAGAGAGGGTGGCTTCCTCTGCTCCGGAGAGAAGCAGCAAAAAATCTGGGCCGGAGGCAGGCTTTATTTAGAGTTTCTTGGCGACAGAGCTTTCTAGGGTACCCTGGTATTGAAGGGTTTTTGTGGGCTGATCTTGGGCTTTTTTCTGTAGGGCAGGGTCTGGCCACTCTCTTGGCTTGAGGGACTGAAAAAGGTCATTATGGTCATTGGAGAAGTCTGAGGAGCAAGGCCAGTATTCCTCAACAAAATTCAGCACCACTCCTTAGAGGCTGTTTGAAAATGTACTTATTCCTTATGAGAATCAATTCCCAAAATCACTATAGGTGCTACTAAGGCTGAGCCACCTCTAATGTGAGAGACAGTCTTAAAAATTCCCTCACTTGAAATGTGAGTGATGCTGTTGTTGAGAGACATCTATATGTGGAAAGGTCATGGGCATGACGTGGGAGAGTGACACACCAGGAGGAACACAGCTGTGGCGTCTGCTGTGCCGTGGGCCCAGATGTCATCTGCACTGGCTCTCACACACACTGTGCTTCCCTCTCAGTCTCCATCTTTAACTTCTTACAGCTTGGTTGTTGACATCCCCGGTGTGTGATGCTCCACTTGTAGCCCCAGAACACTTCCTCTCTGCTTGCCTGCTGAGTGGGCGTGGCAGAGTAGGAAGAGCTCCAACTACACACTAGGAAACGTGGGTTCTAGTTCAGGCTTGGGCGTGTGTAGCTACCATTCAGACACAAACGGTTTGTCTTCCACAGTTGTAAAAGTAGAGGCTTATGCAGCACAGTACCGAAGTCCTTTTAGTTCTTACAGGTAGCATGGTAATTGAGAACATAAAATCCAACAAGATTTAAACCCAACTCTACAATTTATTGACTATGTCACCTTTGGAAAGTAACTTTTGTTTCTATCTCTTAGTCCTCAACTGTGGACTGTGGGGCTTCTTCATTCATTGGGTTGTTATGAGGCACCATCTTATGTGGGGGGCTCTTGGTGTGTTGTGTAGTGACACATGTAAGAACTCAATAAGTATTTGCTTCTATTTGTCCCAGAAGAAAAAAAATGACATGAGCTTTATTTTATAAATGAAAAAACTTGACTTCACAAGAGTATCAAAGGGAGAAGTTCTGGGCTGACAAGATGGCTCAACAGGTAAATGCACTTACCACCATGCCTGACAACCTCAAGTCATGTGGTGGAGAAGAGAACTGAGTCCCACAGACTTTTCTCTGATTTCCATACAGGGGTACTCATAAGCACACATGTTCACAAAAATCAATCAATAAATGTAATGTACAACATTTAAGAGGAAATCCCAATTTTAAATAAAACTAAAAGAGACCAAAATGTTTTGAGATGTTCTCCATATATTGAAGTCTGTTTTAGTTAGGATTTCTGTTGCTGTGGTAAAACACTACACTCACCAACAACTTGGAAAGGAAAGGGTTTATTTAACCTTAGTTTTTGAGAGTATCACTGAGTTAAACAGGGCAAGAAATCAGGTAGGGACCTGGAAGTAGGAACTGGAGCAGAGGTCATGGAGGAGTGGCTCAGTCTGCTTTCTTACACTCCAGAACCACCTGCCCAGAGGTGGCATCACCACAGTGGGCTGAGCACTCTCACATCAAACACTCAGAAAAAGCCACGTGAGGGTGGGTACGTGTGGGCAGATCTGGTGTGGGCATTTCCTCAGTTCAGGCTTCTTCCCAAATGACTCTAGCTGTGTGAAGTTGAGATAAACAGCTGCCGACACAGAGACTTTAACAAAGACTTGAAACGTGTGCCCTTAGCATATGATAATATATGTCCTACCAGAGAAAGACAGACACATTCAGGGGGAAGTAGTCCTAAATGCCAAGTTAAAGAGTTTGAGCCCCTGAGTTTGCCTTTTTCTTGACTAAAAAGAAAAAACTATTTCATAATGTGCTGTCAGATGTTGAGAGTGTAAGATCGTGAAGGTTTGCTTCTGTTTGCCTACTAGCGTCCTGATTTTGGTGAGACATCTTTAGTTACAGGCACACATGGCTTACAGAGTCTTGAATCTTGTGTCCCTGCTTGAGGAAGACTATGAATACCAAACTGTAAAATTAAGGGTAGTAGTGCTGTCTTTGTGTTTGCTAAGCATTGCATAGTGCCTCGCCTCTTCCTTTAGAACAAAGTGAATAGGACCCTTACTCTGTACTTAAGGTGCTTTACAAATACAGTGCCCAGGTTTGCCGCAGCCCAGGTTCCTGCTGAGTAAAATGGTTGTCTGTCAGAGGATCTCAGTTTAGTCTCTTGTTTTGGTCATGGTAGGAACATGGGTCATGGCTATGCATGTTGTAAAGAGACGGTGATGTTGGAGAAATGCTCTCAGCCAGCTGTCCTCAGTAGTGTTTCCATGCAGTTGTTAGCTAGCCGTCAGTGGCCTATCATATGACATCCGAGTTGGGGACATCAGGTAGGCCTGGGATGTAGATTTACAAAATGAAGTTGCTCTTTCAGTGTAGACTCAACAGCTTGCTTGATTGACAGAAACTAATGTTAAAAATGGAAAATTTACTTATTTTGCTTGTCCCTCCTTACCTTGTCACTGAGTTCTTATCCTTATTTGGGGGGGCCAGGGTTCCAGTTGAGCCATCATTGGTGTTATCAATGCCACCAAGTCATAATCAGGTAAGGTTGTTTTTTTGTTTTGGGTTTTGTTTTTGTTTTTTTGTTTTGTTTTGTTTTTTTGTGGAGGGTTTGGGAGGTTGGAGTTAGTTTCTCTGTGTAGCCCTGACTGTAGTCCTGGAACTTGCTTTGTAGGCCAGCCCTCTGCCTCCCAAGTGCTGGGATTAAAGGTGTGCACCACCACTGCCCGGCTTAGTTATTAGATTTACCTTTGTTGTTTCAGTTTTGGTTTTGCTAAGCTAAGATGGCTTCTTTTAATTCCTTTTGGATGTGTGCCTATCTATGCACGCACACCCCACAACATGCATGTTAGAGATAAGAGGACAACCTTGAGGAGTTAGTTCTCTACTTCCACTGTGTGGGTTCCTGGGATTGAACTCAGGTATTAGGTTTTGGTGGCAAGCACCTTTACTAGCTGAGCTTTCTTGTCAACCAGGTTTTCTTTTATAATTCTTGAACTGGCATTAATTGTCAGATATCTATAAATCTTACGACTTGTCTTCTCGGTTCCTAAAGCGCGTGTACATGATAGTCCCTGCTTTTGTACATGTGAGAACAATGATGGAGAAAGGTTAACAATAAACACATACTTTAGAATATTAACACTGCAGAGTAGAGCTTGAGGTAGCAGTGTTCTTTATGTTGATGCGGGTTGTTGACATGTTTCCTCTTGTCCCTCCTTACATGTGGTTGATACGAGTTACTGACATGACGCCCCTTGTCCCCTTTACATGTCTAAAATGAGACCTCTCTTGCAGCTTTTACATTCAGACTTGGAGCTTCATCAGAGGAGAGAGCAGTCTATTGAGTGCACGCGGAGAGAGGCACAGCTTGCTGCCCTGCAGTACGAGGAGGAGAAAACAAGAACCAAGCAGATTCAGAGAGATGCTGTCCTAGACTTTGTCAAAGTAAATCCTTTACCATCATTGATGGGTACTCTTGAAGTTAGGAGAAGAAAATGTTTATTCATTTTATTTTCTTATCAGTTATTCTTGCCTTAATTAAAGGGAGTTTAGATTGAAGATGGCAAAAGCTAGGAGAAAACCATGAGAAGAAAGATCCTACTGAAAAACCCATCTATGCATGATAGAGCAGTCTGGGAAGAAACAAGAGGAGAAAATGGAGTGGAAAGTAATCACAGTCATTAGACTGGTACAAAAACGAAGGCGGAGCCTCCAAGTTTAGCTGGCAGTGTTGCCAAGGAGAATCGGAAGCATCTGAGTTTGTGTCTACATGTGTCACTGTGTGCTGTACTGAGCTGTTCTGTGTCCCTACCCCCGTTGTGTATGATACTAAACATATCTATTATTAATAATTGTAATATTACCATGGCAGGTGCTATGCCATTTGTAATCTAAGTATATGGGAAATTTCTAAATTGATGGGTACTGAGCAATGAATAAATCATTGAAGAGAAACTTAAAAACGAAGAAAGTAAAAGAAATAAATAGATGGATCCAAAGCAAGGTTTTAATGAGAGTCCAGTTTAAGTCTGTGAAAGCAAAGAGAAGCCAGAGTCAGAAGACAGGTGTAAATCTCAGCTACACCTCTTACCATTTAATGTCTCATATCCTAGATTCCCAGGTTTCTCTGCTTGTGGGATTTGTTTCTCTTACAGAATGAGAAACATCACTTGAGATCGTGTGTGTAAGAAGATAGTCCTGGCACCAGATGTGTAGCTGGGTTTGGGAAGCAGACAGTGCTCTCCTAGCCAGCATGGTTCTACCCTAGCACTGCTTAAACCAAGTGTGGAGCTGCACACCAAAATCCTAGAACTGGGGAGATAGAGGCAGCAGTCAGAAGTTCAAGGTCATCCTTGACCACCTAGCAAGTTTGAGACCAATCTGCACTACATGTACACTGTCTCAAAAAAGAAAAAACAGGCGTAGTGGTACATGCCTTTATCCTGGCAATTGGGAGTCCCAAACCCTTGACAAAAGAAAAAAAGAAAAGAAATTTCAGAACACTTGTTGTGTACAAATGTTTATTTGTCAGAATAACAGAATTAACAAATTGGGGAAAATATCTCATTATTAAGAAATTATAGCCAGGTGGTGGTGCATGGCTTTAATCTCATCACTCGGGAGGCAGAGACAGACAGATCTTTTGAGTTTGAGCCCAACATGGTCTACAGAGTAAATTCCAGGACAGTCAAACCACAGCATAGAGAAACTCTGTTTTGAAAAACCAAAGAAAAGGAAGAAAAAAAGAAATTACAAATTTACTTTTGAAAATTGAATGTGATGTGGCAGTGGTCTGAGTTAAGTTTCTATATACAGTTGAAAATACTTGAGATTTGTCTGACAGAAAGCTAACTTATTAGCACGCATGTGATATGTAAAGCCATTGAGTGAATGAGTTCCTGAGAGGGTAGTCCCCTGGTATTCTGAATGTATATTTGTAGGTTTTTAATGTTTTCTATTACTGCTTATAGAAGTCTGATAGTATAGTTTATTGCGGTTCTTCATTTAAGCTAAAATGTTTAAGGCAGGAGCATAATCTCCTCAACTAGTAAATTAAAAAATAAATTGATGTGATCCATTTAATTAAATGGAATGTATAAGTTCCAATATTGAGATTCTAACTAGCTTCCTCTTTCTGGGGATATAGCAAAAGGCATCACAAAATCCACAGAAACAACAGCCCCCTGGAAATGGTGAGGTAAGTCCATATAATTACTTTTTTTGGGGGGGGGGATTTGTTATTTTGCAATGGAAATAAAATATCTGCCATGTGGTTATCATGTTTTCAGTGATCAAATGTTTAAATGATGAAAGAATGATTTCTGGCTGGTGTAGTGGATATATGTCCATTATCCCATCACCTGGAAGGCAGGAGGCTGAAGAGTTCAAGGCCAGCCTAAGCTACATAGTGATTTTTAGGCTAGCCTAAGCTATGTAGAGAGACCCCTCATCTCAAACCAACCTGCTCCCTAAAATTGTCTGCCCTACCCTATTAAATTCTACATATGAAGGAAAATAAGGTACAGGATAAGGAAGGCGGTTATGAGAATATATAGATTAAGCTTGTGTATCAACCGTCTAGAAATTTTTCCATCCTCTTCCTCAATCTCCTGCCTGATCATCCTTTGATGGTGAATGGCTTTGGTGTTCAACCAGAGAGACTGTAGTGTTTCAGCCTTGATGCTGACTTCCTTGTTATAACTCATACATGTTAGTTCTAGATCAGTCAGTACAAATTATTTACAATTAACTGCTTTAACTATTTAAATTTTATGTGCCTATTTTGGTCTGCTAAAATGAAAATTGCTAACTGAACGTTACTTTAGTGTAGTTGACTCTCACATTGACCAGTGTCCCTTATTTTCACCTCCTGTAGTTTCAGTTTATGAGTATTGCTTTATCTGACTTTTTAAGTACACTATTTGAAAATTTAATATAAGTGGGGCAAGATGGATCATCGAGTCCTGGCTTTCTCTGCCAACCCTCATGACCAGTTTGAGTTTAATTCTTCAGACCCCACTAGGTGGAAGATGATTCCCACAGGTTGTCCTTTGTGCTGTGGCACATGTATGTGGGTGAGAACGCACACACACACACAAACACTGAATGAATGAATGAATGAATGAATGAATGAATGAATGAATGGATGGATGGATGGATGAATGAGAAGCCTAGTGTGGCTGTTTCTGCAGCACATTGTTTCTGCAGCACAGGTTCTTAGTCCCTGCGTGAGTTGCTTGTGTGTAAGTACTGTATATGAGGGCATGAGGCCTGAAGCATCCTTCTTGCATCCTCACTTGTCTTTCTTCACAGTGATAACTATGCAAACTTTTTTTTTATAAAGATTTATTTATTTTATGCATATGAGTACACTGTCGCTGTCTTCAGACACACCAGAAAGGGGGTATCAGATCTCATTATAAATGGCTGTGAGCCACCGAGTAGTTGCTGGGAATTGAACTGAGGACCTCTAGAAGACCAGTCAGTGCTCTTAACTGCTGAGCCATCTCTCCATCCCTATGCAAACTTTTAACAACCACAGCTTGATGAGATTAATGCATTTTTTTTTAACTCCAACATTTTTTTTTTTAGATGATGTTTCATGTTTGAGCCTATCCAGGACCCAAGCACACTATATAAAATGACGACCTTGAATTTCTACCCTTTCTGCCCCCAGTTCCCAAGTGCTGTGTGCCAACAGACCAGCTAACATTTCCTTACTTGTCTGAGAAAGCCAATGAAAAGGTGCCGAAACCAGAATTCATTACTCTGAGGTTTACTCTTGTCCTTGGTTTACAAAAGGACCACAGATTGTTTATGCACAGCTCTCAGCAGCTCTCAGCTCTCTCTCCTATGAGCCTGAGCTGTAGAAGGTGTGTAGGCAGGAAGGTGTCTAGGGGGAAGTTAGTACTCAGAATCACCCGTCTGACTGGGATGGCGCCTGTGGTCCTGTGTCTCAGTGTCCTGGGATGTGTCCTTCATGCGTTGCTTTCCTGTGTGTGTTCTTGTGGAATGAATGCGTCACCGTTTGTTTTTGACATTGCTTATTTTCTTCACCTTCCCAGTGTCCTTTCCCATCCAGAAGGTCTCAGCACACTGATGATAGTGCCTTGCTAGTGGTAAGAGAATGCAAAATGGAGTTTACCATTTGTTTTCGGTGTAACTGTTGTGCTTTTCACTCAGAATTGATGTAAATACCATAACACATGATGGGCAGGCACCATAACTAAATTATAAATAACCAGAACTCTCCCTGTTAACTTAACAATCTAGCCAGGCTTCTAGAGTTTGATTCCTACATCTGTCTAGTGAAACCAAGGAAAACCATTTGCATTGAGAACCCTTCTGGCTTTGTATGTGATGAGACATATGTAATAATTAGTTTTTAAATGTCTTTTCTAATTTTGAGGCCACATAGTTAGTCGTTGATTTGGCTCATGTGTGTTAAATGGAGTCCCACACTCCATGACACTAATTATATGTGACAACCTATTTTATCGTGTATTTGGTTTCTGTTGTTTTCATTTTTATAGAATGTCCTCCCACCCCTTGCAAATACAAGCTGCATCACACACTCATGCTGGCTTGTCATGCATGCATGCTGCCACTGGTTGCAGAAGTAGTGACAGAGACTCCCTTACAAAAGTGAAGTTCAGGTACTCACAGTTGAAGTTCTGCTATGCTCCGGTTTAACTCAGAAGGGCATTACTGCAGAGCTGTCTCCTGATGGTTGTGAACACAACTGTACTACGTTGCCTGCTGCTTCATCCACCCAAAGTGGATGGATCATGAAGACTTTATTTAAAGTCTTTTTAATCAGTCTTGGAAGAGAATTCAACCATTTATAAAATTGCATTTCCCATCATGTTTTATGCTACTTTTTCATAGGTCTTTTCTATTTATATATACACTAAAAAGTTGTGTCTGTAGTAACTCCTGTCTTAAGTGCTAGACACTGCCATCGTGAGTGCCATAAGCATGTGTGCTTTAGAGGTTCTTACAATATAACTTGCACTGTGCTCAGATTTCTGTGTCTTCTACTGCCGTCATTTCCAGTAAGATGGACACAGCGCATGTTAACTAGGCAATCTTAAACGTGACTATGAGAGCAGCCTCTGAAGTATTAGCAGAGTTTTACTGCCACCAGGAGTGAGAACTTAGCTTACATAGGAAATAGTGTGGTTTCTGATGCCGGTTAGTTATCTTGCTCAGTTCTCACAGCAATCTTAAAAATTAAGGTTAAACTTACAGTAACGATTTAGTGAGGAAGAGTATGTCTTACCCAGATGTGGCTTGTCAGAGGTCACAAGCTGGTAAGTCCTGGTCTGGGTTTGAGTCTAATCCAAGGCCTGCAGTAAATACCCATGCTGGATTGCCTTAGATGCTAAAACTGAAGGGATGATAGGAAACCAAAGATGAGATTTAACAACACATAGAGTAGATGATAAAAGTCCTAGTGTCGAGATGTTTTTGTCAAAGAAAGAGTAGAATTTGGAAAAACAACAATAGCAAAATACCCTTAGCATGAAATCTGAAGTAGCCTTCAGCCGTTGTCAAAACACAGAATCTTGCAGTTTGGCTGTTGGTGTTCAGGCCTGGTTTCCTGAATTAGATGGCCTTGAAAATCAAATCTTTTGGGATGTTGTAATGTGCTCCTGTATTCCAGCACTTAGGAGGCTGAGTGTGAGCAAGAGGTTTGCCTCAAGTTCAAGGCCACCCTGCACTAGAAACCTAGGCCCCCAAACACCCAACTAAAACACAAAAGAAAAGCAGAATTCACGTTTCTTTGTATGATAAGGAATATCCAGCCAACATTGTACAAATGCTGGGCAGTAGAGTTAGGAGAATTAAGTTAAAGGTACCTGCTCTATCGCAGGGTGTAGGGAGAAGAAAAAAGTTCTATTTTTAAGAGTCATTTTTAAATCTTGTCTCTGATCTCAGAACTGTTCTTCAAAGGGCTTATTTCATACTTCTCTTAAAATCTAAATTTTTAAAATATATCCTGAATGAAGCCTTTGTGTGCTCTGGCTACTCCAGCTCCGTCCGTGTCTCTGGGCTCACTTTTTTTTTTCTTTTTTCTTTTTTGGCTTTTCAAATATGAAAATCCCTGTCCTCAGATCTTTGTAAATGCCGTTCTCTGCATGGACTGTTTCATTCCTTGACTGATTTGTACTCAGTCATCAAGGATCTGCTTAAGCATCACAGTTTAAAAATGGCTTCTCTGGGGCTGAGAGGTGGCTCAGCAGTAAAGAACACTCACTGCTCTTGTAGAAGACGTGGATTCGTACCCAGAATGCACCTGATGGCTCACAACTATATGTGACTATTGCCAGGGGACCCTATCCCTTCCCCTGACCCCTCCAGCAGGCATCAGACACATACATGGTGCACACGATAGGCACACATACATTGAGACAAAACACTCATAAATCATTATGTAGAGAGAGAGAGGGAGAGGCACAGCGATTATGAAGAGAGTAAATACTTGCCTTGCATGATTAAAGACCTGTCCTTGATTCTATCACCCACTTTCAAAAGTCAGGTATGGGGGCTGGAGAGATGGCTCAGCAGTTAAAAGCATTGACTGCTCTTCCAGAGGTCCTGAGTTCAATTCCCAGCACCTACATAGTGACTCACAACCATCTGTAATGGGATCTGATGCCCTATGTACTTATGTACATAAAATAAATCTTCAAAAAACAAGTCAGGTATGGTGGCACATGCTTCTAATTCTTGTACTGGGGGCTGTGTACACGTGGATCCCTGGGGGTTGCTGGCAACTAGCCTAGCCTACCTGACAGACTCAGTGAATAAAGCACCTGCTATGCAAGAGTAAGGACCTGAGTTTGAATCCCTAGAACCTACGTAATGCTGGAAACAGTAGTGCATCTGTGCTCCCTGTGATCCTACAGTGAGCTCTCTGTAACCCAGTTCTACAGCACCTGAGGACAGACACCCTGTCTAAACAAGGTGGAACTAAGGACCACACCTAAGGCTATCCTCTGACTCCATCCGTACATCATGGTACTAGTGCACCCATACCCCTAAAGCACAAATGCTTACATACATACACATCATACACATGAAGGGTTGGTTAAGATAAATGAATCAAATAAAAGTAAAATTATCCTCTTTGAAATTCTGGTCATTTGGAATTTCATTGATGAAATTCTGGGTCATCTCTACAGTGTCAAGCTGAGTCCTCATGATAGACTTCTTCTAATATAACTTGATTAATATTGAAATATATTTTGGTTTATGCCAGCCCTGCTTGGTTAAAAATGAATTCTCTGAGTATTATTTCCCTTTTCACAGAACAATAGAAGACAAGTTAGTTTCAAAGCTATTTTGCTAAAGTCATGGATATCTTAAGTTTTATTTCCATCTGAAATCATTTTTATTATGAAATACCTCTTTTTATTACAAGATGTCTGTATGTTAGGGGAAATGTGAGTTCTGAAGCATCCACTTGTCTTTTATTTTCTATGTCTTATTAGCAGCTCTAGAACTAGAATAATGCCTCTGCATTCTAGATTAATGTGGCCGGAGGTCTTAAGAGTATTCTGAATAATATAGGTGGAAAAGTCCTGTTGTGTAAGTGATTGTATGATGCAGGTGTTCCTGTCTCTTCTCTCCCAGCTCTGTTAGTGTCTTAGTCACCATGTTAAGTTTGTTGATGACCTTCCCTCTGCCAGTTTTACTGCTTAGCTCTGCCTGCCTACCATTTGCTAATTCAAATGCTGCCCTTTGTTTCTTCTCTCCTTGTTTGAAATGTAGTCGCTGTCAGGGTTGGATGGAGTGAGCTGTGTGGCTACCCGGCCTCGTTCTTCTGCCTTCACACCTCTTAAGGTATCTCTTGTTGCATTAATGAATAAGAAATTTTCAGGAAGGGGGTCCAGGGAGGTGTGCAGGGGGGTCTTCAATTTTCAGTAGATAGGTGTAACAGCAGGCAAAGCAGCCTGGAGTCTCATGGAACACACCTAAAGTTATGGATGTATGTTAGTACCAGTGTCACCACCATTCCAGCAGGGAATGTTGCAAGGGGAACGTCACATTTTCAAGAAAATGTGCCTCCCTTCCACATCTGTCTGAGTTTGGGACAAGAACAGGCCCCTGTGTATCTGTGGCACACTTGCCTTCCAGGCTAGATGTTCTGGTAGCTGAAATACCTTCTCTTCCTGCTGATGAGGTAGGCAATGAAGAAGAGGGCCAGCCATGACAGGGCCCCACCCACAGCATGGGATCAGCATGTTCCCACCCTGCACATATTCTTCCACAGACCCAAACCTGTCTCTTTCAACCGTGACAGCCTAGACTTGATGCTGAAGGCATCCAGGGAAGCACCTTGGTTCCATAGATGTGCTCCTCAGTGTAGTGCTTGTATGAGTTCTCAGTAGTGGTCTTCAGAGCTGACTGAGGACTGCTGGCATGTTTAATGCGGGCTCTCATCAGGAACAGTCTTGTGCAATTGGATTCCTTACAGGAAAAACAGGAGAAATTCAGATTGGCACATACCTTTAATCCCAGCATTCAAGAGGCAAAGGCAGGAGGATCTGTGAGTTTGAATCCAGCCTGGTCTACACATGGAATTGTAGGACAGCCAGGGCTACTTCACAAAGAAACCCTGTCTCAAAAACTTTAGGAGGAAGAGGAGGAGGAGGAAGGTTTCTCTTCCAGTGTGTATTTCTCAGTGATTGTTTTTGCCTTAGAATAATCCTTTTTCACAGTGTTTGGAGGAGCTAGATAGAGCTTTAAAGTATGTATTATATAAATAAGCAAGCAGTCTGTCTTTAAGAAAAAGTACACAGGGCCGGGCGGTGGTGGCGCACGCCTTTAATCCCAGCACTTGGGAGGCAGAGGCAGGTGGATTTCTGAGTTCGAGAGTTCGAGGCTAGCCTGGTCTACAGAGTGAGTTCCAGGACAGCCAGGGCTACACAGAGAAACCCTGTCTCAAAAAAACCAAAAAAAGAAAGAAAGAAAGAAAGAAAGAAAGAAAGAAAGAGTATAAAGTCAGTAAATTTCACTAACCTTTCATTTCTAGACTTAGATTGAATGCAAATTGCATGAGATTTTTTTTGTTTTGTTTTGTTTTGTTTTACATCTATTATGTTACTAAAATATGGAGCTGTCCTTTCTTGAGTAGTAACTGCTGATGTGCCTGTTTCTCCACAGAGCGATGACAGAGTTGATGTCACCTCAAGCTTTCCTATGACAGAGACAGGTAATAGAAACAAAGGTGATGTATATGATGTTTTTTTGGTGGGTGTGAGAGAGAAAAACAGTGTCTTGTTATATAGCCCAGGCTAGCCAGAACTAGTGATTCTACTGACTCATTCTCTCAAATCCTGGGATTATAACAGGTGCCTGTCACCAGGCTCAGCACAGTTATTCTTTACCAGAATTTGTTTCTCTGGTGTGGGGGGAGGGGGGAGGAGGGAGAGAGGGAGATTGAGACAGACAGACAGACAGACAGGCAGGCAGGCAGGCAGGCAGGCAAAGAAACAGAAACAGAGATGAAAGTCTTATGTGGCCCAGTCTGGCCTGTAACTGGGAATAAAGATAAACAGTATTCTGAAGCTCCCAGTTCTGGCTCCAGCTCCAGAGTGTTGGCTGTCCTACCGTGCCTGGTTTCAGTAGTGCTGGGGAGCAAACTGACCAGCCCAGGACTTCACGAATGCTAGCCAAGCACTCTACCAACGGAGCCACACCCCAACCCCTCTTTACCAGAATTTCTATTTTTACTAGTTGGCCATGTGATAAGAAAGAATGAATAAGAATTAGCAAGGATATAGCAAGGAATATAGGTTTGCAAGAGACTAAGGTCAGTGTATTAACTTTCAGTATGCATTTGTTAATACACTAAAAATAACAATTTTAAAGCTAAACAAGCAGCTTTACTTCTTACACGAGCTTTTCATTAATGAGTACAATCATCGTCTTTTTAAACCATTGCCATGTCTGATTTGATTTTCCGTGACATTTGTCTACATCACCTTTGATTTGCTTTCATCTCCTTTAACATCCCCTTGCTTTTCCGTGCTGCTGTAGTCCATCATCCCCCTGCATATTCTTTTCCTGCTGCTACCCAGAGAAATCAGCCCCAGCGCCCCGAAAGCTTCCTTTTCCGAGCTGCTGTCAGGGCAGAAGCTCATAAAGGTGAGTGGTGGCGACTTTAAAGGCGTGGCAGAGTGGGGGATGGCTTTGCACAGTGACATGAACTCTTACATGCTGTTAAGCTGCATACCTAGCTGTCATCTTGGTAAAAATACTAACTCTGCAGGTGTCTGTGACCTCACGAACATTAAATCAGGAGCATCTTGGGTTTTTGTTTGGATTAAAAGCTTTCTTAGTACTATATAAAACATTTCTAATGTTTCAACTATGCATGATGATACATACCTGTAATCCCTACATTTAGGAGGCTGCGGCAGAATTGATTTTAAGGCTAGCCCAGGCAATATTTCAAGATCCTGTCTAAAAGCCAAAATCAAAAACCAAATTAAACAAGTAAACTTGCTCTTTCAGAGGCCATCCTTCCCTTGTTATGAATCCTTTCTTAGATCTTTCTGTGTCAGTAAACTAGTGAACATTTGTATACCTATTACCAGCAGTTGTACTGTGAGAAAGGTGTGTATGTGTTAAACAAAGGATAGGTACAAAAACATTCACAGCAACAGTTTTTATAATGTGTTCACAAGTAGGAAGGGGATGAACAATGGTTTATCTGTGCAGTGAATATCGTGCAAGTAGTGAACATTTTCCATACTAAATACTTATTATCTAGAATGTACAGTACTGATACATCTATAATGTTGATCAAAAGAAGCTACACACAAAGAATACATACAATATTGTTTAATCTATAGAAATGTCTCAAAAATGGACAAAATAAATCCCTGGTGTTTAAGGTGAAGATAATGGTACCCTTTGGGTTCAGTGGGCAGAGAATGTGCAAGAGGCTTGAGGTAAAAATTGACTTCAGCACTGAGGCATTTCATTTTGTGAGATCATTTATTGGTCTGTATTTAGAACTCTGTAATGTTCCATATATGTGACATTTGTCAGTAAAATCATTTGTAGGTGGATATAACTCAAATTATTAATACTGTTTTGCCATTATAATAAATTTTCAACTGGTCCTTTAGTTACTGTCCAGCCCACTACTCCTTTCAATTTACTCAATAGACCTGTTTTCTTTCATATAATAATGATACTTTTTTTTTAAAGGAAACCTTCATTATTTTACTTTATGTGTATAGTTGTTTTGCATACGTGTGTGTATGTCTACCACATGCCTGAGGAGGTCAGTATAAGGTATTGGAACCCTGGAGCTGGAGTTACAGATGTTTGTGAGCCACCTTGTGGGTCTTCTTTTTGTTTTTTTGAGACAATGTTTCTCTGTGCATCCCTGGCTGTCCTAGAACTCAGTGTAGACCCGGCTGACCTCAAACTCAAGAGATCAGTCTGCCTCTGCCCCCTGAGTGCTGGGATTAAAGTTGCCAAACCTGGGTCTTCTGTCTATAAGATCAGCAAAAGCAGGAAATGCTGTATTGGCAAGAAAACTTGCCAGACCAATGTATTTTTCTAGTGCTGGCAGGTGACCTCTCTGTCTCATGTTTTCCAGGTCGTTCGTCCCCGCTTCTCCTGCCCTCTGCACCCGCAGCTGATACTACAGATTCCGTAACAAGGCAGAGGGAAGAAGAGCTGAGATTAGTAGACCAGCTACGGAAAGTGTGTGCATTACCGCCGCACTGCCCTTTGCAGTGCCGTTGCTATAGCCCGCATCCCTTTGGTCGCATGCCCTCTTGGCCACCATTGCCATAAAGTCAGTCACGTCTACTGTGACATCCACTGTATGCTGCATTCTGTGACGAGTGCAAAAGAAATTTCACTACTGAGGAAACTCCTTTAAAGTTTTCTTGAGACTATTAGATGAATAATTCTAAGAGCTCACGTTCTAGCCGTCCTCCTTTCCCTTTGTTCCCGTCTCTGGTTTTCACAGTGGTGAAGGCACTCTCGGAAGAGTGGTTATAATGTGTCCGTGCCAGGCATGGTAGTCCACGAGTGTAACCACTCAGTTACCTGAGGCTAACAGGGTCACCAACTTAAGACCGGACTGTGCTACATAGCGAGCCCCTTTCTTAAAGAGAGAATTTACGTGCGTGTGCACATGCTTAAGGCAGATGTACGTGTTGAGGGATTGGCTACTTTATTTTGGAATTGAACAAGAATCTAGTTAGAGTTTATGTTTTTGTTTACTAAGACAAATTCTCCCTATGTAACTCAGGCTGGCCTTGAACTCTCAGTCTTTCTCCCTGTGCCTCTCTAGTCTGGAATTACAGGCATACACCACCATACAAGGACTTAATGGTTTCCTAAATCATAAAATTATAGTAATTTATTTTGTGCTTTTGTACCATTGTGATCTGCTGTGATTCATACATTCTGACTCTGTAACTTACTGACTTAAGTTAGGAGAAAAATGGAGACTGTAGTATCTTAAGTTCTTTTCTGGAGTTTGTCGTGTTTTGTTTTTTTGTTTTGTTTGTTTTTTGTTTTTATTCATTTATTTTATGTATTCACCATTGCTCTCTTCAGACACACCAGAAGAGGGCATCAGATCCCACTAAAAAGGGTTGTGGCCGGGCGGTGGTGGCGCACACCTTTAATCCCAGCACTTGGGAGGCAGAGACAGGCGGATTTCTGAGTTTAAGGCCAGCCTGGTCTACAGAGTGAGTTCCAGGACAGCCAGGGCTACACAGAGAAACCCTGTCTCGAAAAACCAAAAAAAAAAAAAAAAAAGATGGTTGTGAGCCACCATGTGGTTGCTGGGACTTGAACTCAGGACCTCTGGAAGAGCAGTCAGTGCTCTTAACTGCTGAGCCATCTCTCCAGCCCTTGTTTTGGTTTTGGTTTTGGTTTTGGTTTTAAGACAAGGTCTTTATAGTCCTGGCCAGCCTGGAACTCACTGTGCACCTCAGACTAGCCTCAAACTTGCTGTAATTCTTCTGTTGCCCCGGCATCCTAAATGTTGAGATTACAGACATGTAATCTTTCTGCATCCTAAAGGCTGGGATTATAGGCACATGTCATGTCCAGCTTTTCGTCTGCATTTTTGACTGTGTATATATCCTCTATGATGATAGCCACTCTTCAGTTAATGCGTGGAATCTCCTGTCCTTGCAGCACATTGAGTACCGGTTGAAAGTTTCTTTACCCTGTGATCTTGGAGCAGCTCTAACTGACGGTGTGGTACTTTGCCACTTGGCCAATCACGTTCGGCCTCGATCTGTCCCAAGCATTCATGTCCCATCTCCAGCCGTGGTAAGTTGTAATCCCAGGCAGCATTGCTTATTATTCATCAGATGCTTTTCAGCTCAGTGGAGTCACTGTGCTGGAAACTAGCAAAGCAAATACCAAGGGCCAGTCCCCACCTTCCTCTTGTCACTTTGACTAAAGAAAAAGCAGACACATGAACAATAATCTACAGCATGTATTGAATATTGTAAGACATGTATGAAGTATGCTATGAAGATACTAACAGGGGACCAGTTAGAGAATTCAAAGAAGCCTTCTAGAGAAGAAGTTGCACTAATTCAGTTATAAAGTATGGGCAGGAATTGGCAAACTAGCAACTTAAATCAAGGAATTATTCAGCTGTTGAGAATAGATGACACTTGGGGTGAGTGTAAGGGTGCAGATGACTGTGTAAGTCCCAGGCTGTGTTTTAGAGGTTTGTATTAGTGTAAATAGTGGGCACCTTTTGAAAATGCTTGTTGCTTGTTCAGTAGGCATAACAGTACAATGCACTGTTAGAACTTCAGTAGGGAGGGCTGGCAAGATGGCTCAGCCAATAAAGAATCTTGTCACCAAGCCCCACAGCCTGGTTTACAGTTGGATTCGGTAGAGATTAACCATGCAGAAAGGGCTCTTTGTACTTCTCTGTCCATTTATGGGTAACAATTTGCTGACCTGACCCCTGGCCCCAGGCTGGAGCCAGGCTTATGATTTATGTCTACAGCCTGGCTCCTCTGTTGGCAGAATCCTGCCAGACATCTTAGAGCTCACTTATTGTTAGTACCTCTTGTGGAATCAGGGAATGTATCACTGAAAGGCATTCTCCTTGAAAGTCCAGTCACTTATGAACCAGACATTTTGTTGGTTTTTTGTTTTTTGTTTTTTGTGTTTGTTTGTTTGTTTGTTTTTTCGAGACAGGGTTTCTTTGTGTAGTCCTGGCTGTCCTGGAACTCACTCTGTAGACCAGGATGGCCTCGAACTCAGAAATCCGCCTGCCTCTGCCTCCCAAGTGCTGGGATTAAAGGCGTGCACCACCACCGCCCGGCTCAGACATTTTAAATATCAGGTTTTATCCCAATATCATGGGTTTTTAAAGAAAGTTTAGATTCACCTCTACAAAACAGTGGACTCGTGTCTGGAGAAGAGCTCAAGAAGTTAAGCACTCTGCTCCTGAAGAGGAGCCAGGCTGGGTTCCCAGTACCTACATGGTGACTCACAGCCATCTGTAACCAGGAGCATAAGCGGTACACAAACAAGCAAGGCAAACACCTAAAATAAAATAAATAAATCTAAAACATAAGAAAGAAAACAAGTACTCTCTTAAGTGCTGGGATTAAAAGTGTGTACTGCTATACCCAGCTAGTTTTTGTCTCCTTTAGCCTAGGCTGGTCTTGAACTCTGTCTCCCTGCCTGTACCACATTCTGGGGTTCCAGACATATCTGACCACACTGGCTCTGCACACTCTTTATTTGGGCCCCTTTGCCCAGAAGCAGCTCCTAGCAGCTTTCCCCTTTGCCTCTCAGTCCAGCTTACCTTTCTCTGGAGCTAAAGAGGCCACGGCATCCCGTGTCTATGCACACCTCTTGGCATAATCAGGGGCAGCCTTAGAGCCCATTGTAAAGTAGCAGGTAGAGAAGCCCAGGCTGTTCTGTACCATCTGTCAGGAGATCATGACTGTACAGTCCATGTTTCATCTTTCCCTGCCTTTTCACTTCAGTTAAGAATCTGGCATTGACTAGGACGGGAGCTGTGCCGGATTGTTATTCTGTCAACTTGACACAAGGCAGTGTCACCTGAGAAGAGGATCCTCAATTGAGAAAACACCTCTATCAGATTGGCCTGTGAGAAGTCTGTGCTCCATTTTCTTTATTAATGACTGATATAAGGGCCCAGCCTACTGGGGACAGTGGTGGTCCTGGCTTTTATTAAAAAAAAAAAAAGAAGAAGAAGAAGCTGAGCAAGCCATGGATGGAGAGCAAGCCAGTATAAACCTAATTCTTCTGCAGTCTCTACTTCAGTCCTGATGTTAGGTTCCTGCCCTCCTTGAGTTCTCCTGCCTGGCTTCCCTGATAGATCCCAAAGTGTAAAATGAAGTAAGCTCTTTCCTCTCCAAGATGCTTTTGATCATGGTGTCTGTGTCAGCAGGAGAAAGCCGCCCAGGGCAGTTGCCCCCTGTACACTGAGTTCCTGTTGTCTTTTGAAGATCCTTTGCAGGTTGTTCCGTCTGAACTGGGTGGTGATGAGTGTTCGTTCCCTTCCCTCTCGCTGGTTGCCTTTTCATTGTCTGTGACAAACCTGATCTTTGCCCTGCCTGCCTTTGCCTGGTCAAGACTCCAGCACCCTCTTTCCTTGCTTTTGTTTCTTTTAATGACAAGGAATTATGTTTCATGTTTGCAGAAACCTCAGTGAAGTCTTTTGTTTTCTAGAGATGATACTTATTAATTTAAAAAATCTGTAGGTCACAGCCCCTGCAAACCTCTGGCTTCCACACCTGATACTTGAACATCATTTTTGAATATGAATTCCTATTTTTCTTACATTATGTTCCATGATAACCAACTAGGTGAAAAGCAAAACTCTGAGAGGGTATTGAGATGCCTCTCTATTTCTAGTGTTTACAGATGTTACAGAAAGTAGACTCACGCGGTAGTAACTTAAGAAAAGTTCCTGTGTCAACCTTTCATCTTGTAAAGTAGCTTTGTAGCCATTGTTAAGACTTTTTCTAATTTCCAAAGTGTCTAATAAGTTAAATGCAAAAAAAAAACAAAAAAAATAGGGCCACTATTAAGAGTACAGGCTGTTCCTGCAGAGAACCAAGTTCAATTCCCAGCACCCACATGGCAGCTAACACCTCTCCATAACTTCATTTCCCAAGGACCTAATACCTTCTGGATTCTACAGGCACTGTATGTACAATATGTACAGATATACATACAGACAAAATACTCATACATATAAAATAATAAAATAATGTTTTAAAATAGAATCAGGCATGGTAGCACACACCTTTAATCCCAGCACTCAGGAGGCAGAGACAGGTAGATCTCTAAATTCAAGGCCAGCCTGGTCTTAACAGGTCTAAGCCAGTCAAAGCTATGTAGAGAGACATAGCCTCAAAAAATAATAAACCAACAGAAAATAAACTGTTAATCATGCCATGGTTGAACAATGGACTACTGGGTGATACATTTTCTTGATGTTCTCTCCAATTTTCTTTTGTTTCAAAATGAAAAAACTATCTTCTTACCACTTATCTTCCAAACCAAAGTAAGCACATACACTGGGAGGTGGCCAACTCCTCTCCAAGCTGGCTCCTATTGCTGCAAATAGTATGTTCTTGGAAAGCAGCCACAGTGGCCAGGTCCTCCTCATGGCTGATTTTGTGCTCCTGGAAGAATTGAGTGACTGCAACAGTTCCGAGGCTCTTGAGATTAACACTCACTGATCTTTTAAGAAAATGTGTGCAAGCCCCTAGTATACATAGCAGTTCGCCTGTGAGGCGGCTGGCAAGAGTGGTCTGAAGTTTGCGTTCCTTTTGACCTTTAGTGATATCGCTTTCCTCCTTTTTTGTCTCACTGCAGCCTAAGTTAACAATGGCAAAGTGCAGGCGGAATGTGGAGAACTTCCTGGATGCTTGCAGAAAAATCGGTGTACCTCAGGTAACTCTGTGTGTGTGTGTGTGTGTGTGTGTATAAAATTGTTCTTACCAGGAGTAGCTGCTGACTCACTACTAACATGATGTGTTATCACAAGACTGTCAGTATTCTCTCCAGCAACATTCTTTGATGCTTACCTCAGAATCTTTAAGGAAACTGTAAAGTGTTGATTTAAATAATTGTATTATAACTAATAAATGAAAAATACTTGTTCTGTTTTCTTAAGCATCCCAGTAGCTTAGTTTGATCTAAGTAGAGCTATATTTAACAATATTTTCCACACAGGTACCTTTCAGATTGGGAATTCTTTTTTGCCTTCAGTTTTTTAACACTTTTAATACATTTTGAATATATGTATTAATTTTGAATAATTTTAGACTTTACAAAAATAGCGGAGTTCTTATGTATATACTTCACCCAAATTTCCCAGATGCTTGAGTTAAATACACAAAAAATGTAGCTGTACAAGTAGGTAATCCAAATGCTAGTCCTCATGACTAAATGAGACATTTAATTCAGCTTCCACCTGTTTTTCCACTAGGCTGCAGTTCTTTGGAAGTTAGCATGTTTTAAGGAGACAGTGCTTCCATGAGCCACTGTTGCAGTGGTTCTCAACCTGTGGGTCGTGACCCTTTCACAGGGGTCACCTAAGGCCATCAGAAGACACAGATGTTTACATTACAGTTCATAAAAGTAGCAAAATTACAGTCGTGATGTAGCAATGAAGATAATTTGATGGTAGGGCATCACCACAGCATGAGGATCTGTAGAAAAGGATCACCGCGTTAGGAAGGCTGAGAATCGGCTCGGTTGTGTTTCCTGCCATTGATAGTACTTAGTCAGACATTATTTACAGATTCAATGGGAAGTGTTTACACTGCTCCTTCGGAGACACTTTTGAAGAGCAGTTAAAAACTGCTTTACTCTTGAGTGGTGCACAGAGCTTTCGATGATAGAGGAAATAGGTTCTGTGATCTAGTGTGTGCTCAGGTTGTCTTAGAACTCTGGAGAAGCATGCCTCCTGCCTCAGCCACCAGTGCTGGGTGACGCCCACCACCATGCTTAGCAACAGTGGAACTGACGCCTACCAC